CAGCACAGACATGATGGGCCAAATGGCCTTCTTCTATGCTGTACATTTCTATGGTTCTAAGGCAGCTATGCTGGAAGTCACACTGGGAGAAACACTGGGGAATCTGCTGAAAGCTGTGCTGGGGAATATGCTAGGGAATATGCTGGGAGTTATGTTGGGGAATGTGTTGGGGAATATACTGGAAACAGTGCTGGCAGCAGTGCTGGGGAATGTACTGGGAACAATACTAGGAGCTAAATTGGGAGAGGTACTGGGAGCTAAACTGGGAGAGGTACTAGGGAATGTGTTGGGAGATGTACTGGGAGCTAAACTGGGAGAGGTACTAGGGAATATGTTGGGAGATGTACTGGGAGAAGTACTAGGAGCTGTACTGGGAGAGGTACTGGGAGCTAAACTGGGAGAGGTACTGGGAGCTAAACTGGGAGAGATACTAGGGAATATGTTGGGAGATGTACTGGGAGATGTACTGGGAGTTAAACTGGGAGAGATACTAGGGAATATGTTGGGAGATGTACTGGGAGTTAAACTGGGAGAGGTACTAGGGAATATGTTGGGAGAGGTACTGGGAGATAAACTGGGAGAGGTACTGGGAGCTAAACTGGGAGAGGTACTAGGGAATATGTTGGGAGATATACTGGGAGATGTACTGGGAGCTAAAATGGGAGAGGTACAAGGGAATATGTTGGGAGATGTACTGGGAGCGAAACTGGGAGAGGTACTCAGAGAGGTAGTGGGAGCTGAAATGGGAGATGTGCTGGAATATTCTCTGAGCTGTGCTAGCTTTGCAGGGACATTCTGGGATCTGTGCTGGAATATTCTGGGATCTGTGCTGGGAATATTTTGGGAGCTGTGCTGGTCTGTGCTCGGAATACTCTGGGGCTGTACTGGAAATATTTTGGTGCTGTGCTGGAATATTCTGGGGTTTGTGCTGATCTGTGCTACGAATATTCTGGGGGCTGTCCTGGTCTGTGCTGGGAATATTCTGGGGCTGTCCTGGTCTGTGCTGGGAATATTCTGGGGGTTGTGCTGGTCTGTGCTGGGGATATTCTGGGGACTGTGCTGATCTGTGTTGGGAATATTCTGGGGGCTGTGCTGGTCTGTGCTGGGAATATTCTGGGGGCTGTGCTGGTCTGTGCTGGGAATATTCTGGGGGTTGTGCTGGTCTGTGCTGGGAATATTCTGGGGGCTGTGCTGGTCTGTGCTGGGAATATTCTGGGGGCTGTTCTGGTCTGTGCTCGGAATACTCTGGGGCTATACTGGAAATATTTTGGTGCTGTTCTGGAATATTCTGGGGTTTGTGCTGATCCGTGCTACGAATATTCTGGGGGCTGTCCTGGTCTGTGCTGGGAATATTCTGGGGGCTGGTCTGTGCTGGGAATATTCTGGGGACTGTGCTGGTCTGTGTTGGGAATATTCTGGGGGCTGTGCTGGTCTGTGCTGGGGATATTCTGGGGGCTGTGCTGGTCTGTGCTGGGGATATTCTGGGGGCTGTGCTGGTCTGTGCTGGGGATATTCTGGGGGCTGTGCTGGTCTGTGCTGGGGATATTCTGGGGGCTGTTCTGGTCTGTGCTGGGATATTCTGGGGGCGGTGCTGGTCTGTGCTGGGGATATTCTGGGGGCTGTGCTGGTCTGTGCTGGGAATATTTTGGGGACTGTTCTGGTCTGTGCTGGGAATATTCTGGGGGCTGTGCTGGTCTGTGCTGGGAATATGCTGGGGGGCTGTGCTGGTCTGTGCTGGGAATATTCTGGGGGCTGTACTGGAATATTTTTTTTTGCGGAGCTGTGTTGGGATAATGCTTGGTGCCTGGCTGTGCTGGGGGCCGCGCTGGCCGTGTGCTGGGGGCCGCGCTGGCCGTGTGCCGGGGTCTGCGCTGGCCAGGGGCTGGCTTGGCTGGGCTGAGTGCTGTGCTGGGGGCTTGGCTGGGGGCAGGGTCTCTGGGTTGGGGGTGGGGCTGGCTGGCTGGGGGATGTGCTGGGGGCTGGGCACGGGGATGTGCTAGGCTTGGGGACTATGCTGGGGGGCTGTGCTGGACTGGGGGCTGGGCACGGGGATGTGCTAGGCTTGGGGACTATGCTGGGGGGCTGTGCTGGACTGGGGGCTGGGCACGGGGATGTGCTAGGCTTGGGGACTATGCTGGGGGGCTGTGCTGGACTGGGGGCTGGGCACGGGGATGTGCTAGGCTTGGGGACTATGCTGGGGGCTGTGCTGGACTGGGGGCTGGGCACGGGGATGTGCTAGCTTGGGGACTATGCTGGGCGCTGGGCTGTGCTGGGCACTGGGCTGTGCTGGGCGCTGGGGGCTGTGGGCTGGTCTCTGGCCTGGGGGCTGGGCTGTGGGCTGGTCTCTGGCCTGGGGGCTGTGCTGGGCTGTAGGTGGGGCTGGGGGCTGCACTGGGGGCTGTGCTGGGCTGTAGGTGGGGCTGGGGGCTGCACTGGGGACTGTGCTGGGCTGTAGGTGGGGCTGGGGGCTGCGCTGTGCTGGGGGCTGTGCTGGGCTGTAGGTGGGGCTGGGGGCTGCGCTGTGCTGGGGGCTGTGCTGGGCTGTAGGTGGGGCTGGGGGCTGCGCTGTGCTGGGGGCTGCGCTGTGCTGGGGGCTGTGCTGGGCTGGGGGCTGTGCTGGGCTGTGGGCGGGCTGGGGGCTGGGCTGGGGCTGGGGCTGGGCGGGGCTGTGGGCGGGGCTGGGGGCGGGGCTGGGGGCGGGCTGGGCTGGGGGCTGCGCTGGGGCTGGGGGCTGGGCTGGGGGCTGGGCTGGGGCTGGGCTGTGGGCGGGGCTGGGGGCTGCGCTGGGGCTGGGGCGGGGCTGGGGGCTGGGGCGGGGCTGGGGGCGGGGCTGGGGCTGGGCTGGGGGCTGTGGGCGGGGCTGGGGCGGGGCTGGGCTGGGGCTGCGCTGGGGGCTGGGGGCTGCGCTGGGGGCTGGGGCGGGGCTGTGGGCTGGGGCGGGGCTGGGGCTGGGGGCTGGGCTGGGGGCTGCGCTGGGGGCTGGGCTGGGGGCTGGGGGCTGGGCTGGGCGCTGTGCTGGGCTGGGCTGTGGGCTGGTTTCTGGCCTGGTGGCTGTGCTGGGCTGTAGGTGGGGCTGGGGGCTGCGCTGGGGGCTGGGCTGGGGGCTGGGGGCTGGGCTGGGGCTGGGGCTGGGCTGGGGGCTGGGCTGGGCTGTGGGCGGGGCTGTGGCTGCGCTGGGGGCTGGGGGCTGGGCGGGGGCTGGTTTCTGGCCTGGTGGCTGTGCTTGGCTGTAGGTGGGGCTGGGGGCTGCGCTGGGGGCTGTGCTGGGCTGTAGGTGGGGCCGGGGGCTGCGCTGAGGGCTGTGCTGTGGGCTGTGCTGGGCTGTGGGCTGTGCTGGGATGTAGGTGGGGCTGGGCGCTGTGCTGGGGGCTGTGCTGGGCTGTGGGCGGGGCTGTGCTGGGGGCTGTGCTGGGCTGTGCTGGGGGCTGTGCTGTGGGCTGTGCTGGGATGTGGGCTGCGCTGTGCTGGGGGCTGCGCTGGGCTGTAGGCGGGGCTGGGGTTGGGCTGGGGGTTGTGCTGGGGGCTGGGGGCTGTGCTGGGGGCTGGTCTCTGGCCTGGGGGCTGTGCTGGGCTGTAGGTGGGGCTGGGGGCTGCGCTGGTCTGTGCTGGGGATATTCTGGGGGCGGTGCTGGTCTGTGCTGGGGATATTCTGGGGGCTGTGCTGGTCTGTGCTGGGAATATTTTGGGGACTGTTCTGGTCTGTGCTGGGAATATTCTGGGGGCTGTGCTGGTCTGTGCTGGGAATATTCTGGGGGCTGTGCTGGTCTGTGCTGGGAATATTCTGGGGGCTGTGCTGGTCTGTGCTGGGAATATTCTGGGGGCTGTACTGGAATATTTTTTTTTGCGGAGCTGTGTTGGGATAATGCTTGGTGCCTGGCTGTGCTGGGGGCCGCGCTGGCCGTGTGCCGGGGTCTGCGCTGGCCAGGGGCTGGCTTGGCTGGGCTGAGTGCTGTGCTGGGGGCTTGGCTGGGGGCAGGGTCTCTGGGTTGGGGGTGGGGCTGGCTGGCTGGGGGATGTGCTGGGGCTGGGCACGGGATGTGCTAGGCTTGGGGACTATGCTGGGGGGGTTGGGCTGGGGGCTGTGCTGGGCTGTAGGCGGGGCTGGGGGCTGGGCTGGGGGTTGGGCTGTGTGTGCGGGGGCGGGGCTGGGCGCTGTGCTGGGGGCTGTGGGCGGGGCTGCACTGGGCTGCGCTGGGGGCTGTGCTGGGGGCTGGTCTCTGGCCTGGGGGCTGTGCTTGGCTGTGGGCGGGGCTGTGTGCGCGGGGGCGGGCTGTGTTCGCGGGGGCGGGGCTGTGTGCGGGGGCGGGGCTGTGTTGCGGGGGGCGGGCTGTGTTCGCGGGGGGCGGGCTGTGTGTGCGGGGCTGTGTGCGGGGGCGGGGCTGTGTGTGCGGGGGGCGGGCTGTGTGCGCGGGGGCGGGGCTGTGTGCGGGGGCGGGGTGGGAGGCGGGGCTGTGTGTGCGGGGGGCGGGGCTGTGTGCGCGGGGGGCGGGGCTGTGTGCGGGGTCGGGCTGTGTGCGCGGGGGGGCGGGCTGTGTGCGGGGGCGGGGCTGTGTTGCGGGGGGCGGGGCTGTGTTGCGGGGGGGCGGGGCTGTGTGCGCGGGGGGCGGGGCTGTGTGCGCGGGGGGGCGGGGCTGTGTGCGCGGGGCTGTGCGCGGGGGGCGGGGCTGTGCGCGGGGGGCGGGGCTGTGTGTGCGGGGGGGCGGGCTGTGTGGCGGGGGCGGGCTGTGCGCGGGGGGCGGGGCTCAGAATCAAAGTGGCCTGAAATTAAAACACGTTTGTAGCCCAAACCCCACCAGTATAAGCCGCAAAGTACCTGATATGGCAGAAACTGTGTAAAGAAATGTTCGGGGGATTTTGTCGGTTGACTTTTTTTAAAGTCGGGCATCCGAGCAAAGTGTTTTATTTCACACGTACAGAGCAGCACAAACCGCCCAATTGGACGTGAAGCCGCCCAACCTGCCCGCGCTGGGCGGGAGGTCTCGCGGTGCGCATGCGCGCCTGGTGACCCCAGGCGGCAATGGCGGTGCGGCTGCTCCGAGCGCGACTCCGAGTCACTGTGACCTCGGCCCCAGGTCCGGCCCCAGGCCCACACTCATCAGCGGTAAGCAGGGGAGGGAGGGAGGGAGAGAGAGAGGGAGGGCTGGTATTGAAGGTGGAGGTCACTGGGAGGATTGTTGAAGGTCGGGGGGTCACGGGGGAGGGTTGTTGGAGGGAGGGAGGGTTGTTGAAGAAGGGGGTCATGGGGGAGTTGTTGGGGGGTCACGGGGGAAGGTTGTTGGAGGGGTCACGGTGGGGAGGGTTGTTGGAGGGGTCACGGTGGGAGGGTTGTTGGAAGGATCACGGTGGGGAGGGTTTGTTGGAGGGGGTCACGGTGGGGAGGGTTGTTGGGGGGTCACGGTGGGAGGGTTGTTGGGGGGTCACGGTGCGGAGGGTTGTTGGGGGGGTCACGGTGCGGAGGGTTGTTGGGGGGGTCACGGTGGGGAGGGTTGTTGGGGGGTCAGGTGGGAGGGTTGTTGGGGGGTCACGGTGGGAGGGTTGTTGGAGGGGGTCACGGTGGGGAGGGTTGTTGGAAGGGATCACGGTGGGGAGGGTTGTTGGAGGGGGTCACGGTGGGGAGGGTTGTTGGAGGGGGTCACGGTGGGGAGGGTTGTTGGAGGGGGTCACGGTGGGGAGGGTTGTTGGAGGGGGTCACGGTGGGGAGGGTTGGTTAAGTGGGCGGTAAATATACAATATAAATTTACATTTATATATAGTGCTTTCCATGTCGGAAGCATGTACCAAGGTGATGCACAACCTTGACTGGGCACCTGAGGTGCGAGCCGAGTGGGGGCAAGATGACCTAAAGCGCAGTCAAAGAGGACGGTTTTGAGATGGACTTTAAAAGAGTTGAGGGAAGGGAGCGAGTTGGAGGGGCTCAGGGATGGAGTTCCAGGGAGTGAGGGCAAATAATAATAATAATAATAATCCTTGCATTTGATATAGCGCTTTTCACGTCGGGAGGACGTCCCAAAGCGCTTCACAGAATAGACTGTAAAGTGAATTGACTGTATATTTGTGGGCGAACGCGGCAGCCAATTGCGCACAGCAATGTCCCACAAACAGTCGTAGATTGAAAATGACCAATTTTTATTATTGTTTTTGTTTTTTTTGGAGGGATTATTAAATAGGCTGGAAGCCTGCCCGCTGTCCTGCCGATGGTTGGGTGGCAGGGGAAGTGAGCAGAGGGGGTGGCCGGGGCAGTAGGCTTAAAGATGTCGCTGATCTTGAACTCGATCCACTGTGGGATGTGGAGCCAGGTAAAAATTATGAACAACAATAAATTACATTTTTATAACACTTTTCATGTCAGAACATCCCAAGGATTTGGACAGTCAGGAATCCATATCCGAGCTGAGATCAGTAGGGCGGAGAGGATGGGAGGGTGACCGAAGGCAAGGTCAAAGAGAGGGTCTTGAAGGAGACGGGAGGAGACGAGGTGGGGGAGACTGGAATGGAGTTTCAGAGGGTGGGGGCAGAAAGGCTGAAGGCCTGCTAATGGTGGGGGGACAAGGGGTGGAACATGAAGCAGGCTGGAGCCCGCTGAGCAGAGGGAGCCGATAGGTTGGTAGGAGACTAGGAGGTCACAGAGGAAGGGAGGAGCAAGGCTGTGGAGGGCTTTGAAGGTGAGGACCAGGATCTTGAACTGTATTCTCTGAGTAATATAATAATCCTTGCATTTGATATAGCGCTTTTCACGTCTTCCAGTTTTGGATCGTAGGACGAAGGGTCGTGGACCCGAAACGTTGACTCACTTTATTTTCTCCATAGGTGCTGCCTGACCTGACCTGCTGAGTGTTCCCAGCGACTTGGGTTTTTGTTTTCAGATTTCCACATCTGTAGTATTTTGTGTTTTGTCTAAAAAAGGAAGAGGCATACGCAGATGTACAGAGCCTAATAAACCTGCTCTTTTCATATCCACAACTGTCCTAGTTAGTGTGAATAACTCTAAAATACATAGTCTTTTTGCACGAAGTTGGATTGTCAATAACTGGGTCACTAACTACAGTATTCCCTGTTAAAACACTGATTCTGCCTATTGATATCACTGTGAGAAACCCCGTGAGAGAGTTTCCTTAAACTACACAGTGTATCCTAGTCTGAGCAGCATTGACCATTGTGCAGGTCACTTTCTGCTCAGGTTAGTGCGGAGAAGGGAGTAAAACGGCCTCAGATATAAAAGATGACTGACTAATTATACCTCTTGCTTGTGTTCCCCCTCCCCACTGACTTGGCTCAGGCTGGCATCCACACCAGCTGTACCAGGAGCTTGAAGTATGGCTGGCTGGCTTTCGCATTGGGCGAAAGAACAACCCCAAGAATGAAGGAGATGAGTAAGATCATCACCGTCGAGGGAAACCTGGCATCTGGGAAAAGTGAACTGGCACAGAAACTGGCTCAGCGTCTGGGTAACGTATGATGATTTTATTTAAAGGTGTTGGTCTAGCATCAATGTTAGGCGTGTTTTGTAACGTCTCCCTTGAGTTTAGGAGGTTGAGGAGTGGCCTACTTGATCTAGTTTTATTATTTAAAATGATAAAGGAATTTGATAGGGTAGATACAGATACATTATTTCATCAGATGGGGGAATCCAAAGCAAGGGGGCATAATCTTAAAATTGGAGCTAGGCCATTTTGGAATAAAATCAGGAAGCCCTTTTTCACTCAAAAGGTAGTTAAAATCTGGAATTCTTTCTCCCAAAAGGCTGTGGATCAATTGAAATTTTCAAGACTGAGTTGATAGATTTTTGTCAAATAAGGGTATCAAGGGATATGGAGCAAAGGCAGGTAAACAGAGTTGAAGTACAATTCAGCCATGATTCAATAGAATGACAGAACAGGCTCGAGAGGCTGAATGGCTTACTCATGTTGCTATGTCTCCCCTATGTCAGACTACATGCAGGAAGTAGGCTGACCGAGGCTTTCAGTCACATTGTCTGCTGGGCTCTGGGGTGTTGGGAGGGCCGGGGGGAGAGTAGAACCTGCTTGGGCTCTGAAGTTCCGCAAAATTCAAAGTAAATAATGTCAAAATCCCAAATGTGTAACAGGATACACTCTAAAGTACAGTGACTGTGTTTTGTGGGTGAACAGGGCAGCCATAGTGTCACCCTCCAACAATGGAACCCCCTTCACTAAGGGTCACTCCGTGGACCGTCCATGATTATGTGCCTCTCTGTAAACTGGTGCCTTGTCTGGAGGACATTGCTTTAGGAATTTAAATGGCAATTAAGAAAGAGCCAATGAAATAGAAGCAGGAAATATAAAAGGATCGTGGGAAGGGAACCAGTGTTTGGAGTTTTTGATTGGAGTATTGGATTATTAGGAACAGAGAATGATGGAGTTACTGAATATACCAGTGTTATGCATTGAGATGTCATCCTGACATGAAAGGCGCAATACAAATATAATTTCTTGTCGAGAATCATTACTTGGGGTTACTAATGCCACACCAGGGCCACTGTTACCCCTGAACTGGGGGGGACTGTCGCACTGAGGGGGTTGGGAGGATTGGGACTTGATTTGTTGCCTTGTGCGGCTGACTAGGTGGGTCATGCTCTCACCTCCTATCAGAAACTTGTGGGTTCAAGCTCCACACTTGTGATGCAGTACTCTAGGAGGGGGTACCATCTTTCACAAGAGATGTTGTGTCGAGGTACCTCTTGCTGCCATTCTGATGGTTCGGGTGAATATTAAGGTTTGGAACAGTGAGATCTCCCAGTGTCCAGGATTGACCAAACTGTTCACTATATCGCTGTGTGGGGGACATGGCTGGAAGAGATTAGCCTCCGCTTCACAAGGTGGTGAAGACCCTCTGTACAGGGTGTCCACAAAGTTCTTTTACCCCTTTTTTTTCTCTCGATGATGCACTGGCCAACAACATCGTTTTTCCACGTGAAACGCGTAGAAGAATGATGACTATTGTAGTTAGAAGTACTTAATTGTGTTCGGTACAAGTGTTTAACTATATTTAGATGTCCAGACGATCGATGTATTAGTCTCTGTGAGCGCCATCATTTTCATAGCAGATAATGATCCATCACCATATTGAGTGCGTGGATGGACGGTGTGAGTGACAAGTCGAAATGCATCTCTTGACTGCGTGGAATCCTGTAGCATATTGGTTAGAGCACTCACCTCGCAAGCAAGATGATCCAGGTTCGATTCCTGGGCAGGTTGAAACCTTTGGCAAGTTTTCTTACTCAACACATACGGCTCTGTTTACCTAGAATTGAGTAGGAACCTGGTTGTTAGTCAATTAGCAGATCACTTTCTGGGGGTAATAATCCCTCCATAAAATAAAATATGACCTGCTCTAGGTCCCCTGCCCTGCATGCCCCATCGGCAGGCAGGCCTTCAGCCTTTCTGCCCCCACCCTCTGGAGCTCCATCCCCACACACCCTTCGCCTCTCCCCCTCCCTTGCCTCCTTCAAGACCTGTCACAAGACATCCTCTTTGAACATGCCTTTGGTCACCCTCCTATCCCACCCCTCCTGATCCCAACTCTTAGCTCAGGTGCAGTGCCTTGACTGTCCAATACCTTGGGACGTCCTCCCAATGTGAAAGGCGCTATACAAATGTAATTTGTTGTTGCTTGCAGCACTGAGGTTCAGCAGTTGTTAAGTTGTTTCTGTGCCTTTTTCTTCTTCGCAGACATGCTGTACATCCCTCAGGCTGGTGTCCATTACTGGGAAAAGAAGCTTGGAGATGGCCCACTGCTGGAACCCACGTTCAGCGGGAACTGTAGCTTGGAAAAATTCTACGCTGATCCCAAATTCTCGGATGGGAATTCTTACAGACTACAGGCCTGGCTGTACCATGTCCGCACCCTACAGTACTCAGATGCTCTGGAGCACCTGCTGCAGACAGGTAGAAATACTGCTTTTTTGTTCCACGCTTGTCCTCAGAGCCCGGGGCTAGAAACACAGAAATTGGCAGATGCGGTTCCTGACATCACGCCCCTCTGGGTTCAGGCCGACCAGAGTCCCAGTTACCCATAGGCCCATGTTGTCCTCCAGGCCAGAAGGCGCTCTACAAGGTGTCCACAAAGGCCTCCTACTCCCTGTTATAAAACCGTGATATGAGACTACAGAGGAGCTGAATCAAGCTATCAGAGCTGTATTTTGCCCCATCATTCCATCATGTTATGGAAGATGTCACACTAAACATGGTGACGGATCATTATCTGCTATGAAAATGATGGCGCTCACATTGATCCTCTGGATGTCTAAGTACAGTTAAGCACTTGTACTGAATACAATTACAGTAAACCGCACAAGTCATATCAGTTGGTAATGTACATTTAATATGACTTATGCAAAGTATAAATATTTTGCATAAGTCGTATCATATGACTTATGTAAAGCTGTATATGTTGGATATTATATCAAGTACACAAGTTCAAAATGGAAATTTTCAGATCCATCATTTTCCAGAACAACCATTTTCACGTACTTTTCATCCTGTTTTATTCGAATGTTCCTGTTGCCGTCCAAGATTTTATTGTATTTTTCTTGCCATGAGAGATGATACAAATGTGTGAATTATTTAAGAATGAAGGGGAATATTAAGACTCCACTTATTTGTCTCAGTTATAAAGGGAGACGTGATAGCTGTCAGTTGCAGGAAACCGTATTAATTTGTAATGCTGCTACCGCACTTGTCACTACTGAATGTACAGGATGCCGGGTCAAAACTTTGTTACCTACGCTTAACTCGAATGGTGCACATGTGCACCCCAATGCTCAGTACAGCATTGCTGTTGTAGCCATGAGGCTGTGTTCCAATCATGACGTGAATGGGCAGCGTTCCTGTTCATGTTACAAGGAGGCAGTTCTCCCTCACTCACCACATGATCAGGTGACTCCTTCCTCTCCCGGTTTATAAATGTGATGAAGTAGCCTCTCCGTGATTTTTTTTTGGTCAGCCAAGTGTCTGACACGTGTGGAAACCCATCTTCATGCTTAAGAGTATCCAAATCAAGCTTGAGAATTCAATGATTCCACCTTCACGTGAAATTCCAGAGATAAATTGTTGGAATAGAATGCGCATTCTCTCCTTGGAAGAACGCATCTTGCTTACCGGAATTCCAGAAAGTATTAGGTGCAGTTTGGCAAGAACCAAGGCTTGGGGTCCCCTCCAGCATTGGGGTAGCTGCTGGAGTCTAACCAGCTAAAACCGCATAGCTTGCCATTGAAATCACCGTCTGGCAAGCTTTCCTGCTTGGGACTTGCAGGGTTAACAGGAGCTGAGTGGGAGGATTCCCTGCCTCCATTGACTGGTCTGCCTTCCAGGTCCTGCAGATGAGCCAAGCTGAGCTGTCATCATGGAGTACTGTGAACCCATCTGCCTCAGCAATCGGAATACCGAAACTGCCACAGAGAGTGGGCTCGATTCTTAAATTCTGTTGCCAGGCATGTCACCTTGGAGCTAATTCAGCTCCAAGGAGTCGCCGCTTACCTCACACCTAAGGAGGATAGTGTTAACATATTCCATCTCTAAACAAGCCTTTGTGTAAAGAGAATATCTTGGGATTATTGGCCTTTTGCCTGGTAATGTTACGAAATGCTGCCGGGGGTTGGTAACCAATTGGTGGTGAGAACGCGGGTAAACACTCTAGTGTCTGGTTGTGTGTTGCTGCAGGTCAGGGGGTGGTGCTGGAGCGGTCGCCATACAGTGACTATGTCTTCCTAGAAGCCATGTACAACCAGGGCTACATCCGGAAACAGTGTAAGTGGCTTTTCACGGCTTTCTCTCTTTTTCCGCCTCTTAATCGTTAAATATCCATATCAACAATGGATGGATGTGGCCTTCTCACAATTGTTTGTTAGTTAATTGTTGGATCTTTTAAACTAATTTCCCTGCCCTTTACTTCATACCATTTAATATCCTGGCGTGTATCGGCCTGGCATAGTGGTGTTGTTGGCCAGGACACAGAGAGTCCTGTAGCTCAGTGGTTAGAGCACTCGCTTTGCAAGCGAGAGACCTGAGTTCAATTCCAGGCAGAGGGCGAAACCTTGGGCAAGTTTCCTTACTCCACACAGAGCCTAATAATAATCCCTCCAAAAAACAAAGCAATAATAAATTGGTCATTTTCAATCTACGACTGTTTGTGGGACATTGCTGTGCGCAATTGGCTGCCGCGTTCGCCCACAAATATACAGTCAATTCACTTTACAGTCTATTCTGTGAAGCGCTTTGGGACGTCCTCCCGACGTGAAAAGCGCTATATCAAATGCAAGGATTATTATTATTATTAAACTCCCTTTTTTCGAATAGTGGCATGGGATCTTTAACATTAATGCTGGGTGAGCACTGCATTGCTGTCCTTCAAAACGAGCTGTTAAACTGATATCATAGAATCATAGAATGAGACAGCACAGGAGGCCATTTGACCCATTGTGTCTGTGCCGGCTCTTTGAAAAGAACTATCCAAATCAATCCCACTCCCGTTCTCTCCCCAAACCCCTGCAGCTTGTCCTCCCCAAATAATTATCTATTCTTTTAAAAGTTGTTTTTGAATCAGCTTCCACCGTCCAAACAACTCGGATATGTCTGGATGTTAAAGGTCCCGCAACCCTAGTCGAAAAAGAGGAGGAAGTTTCCAACTGTGTCCTGGCCAACAACCCTAAAGTAAAATTGTTCATTCATTTCGTGGCTGTTTTTGGGACATTGCTGAGCAAATTGGCTGCTGCGTTAATCTACAAAATATAGTCACTGTACTTTACAGTACTTTACAGTGTGTAAAGTACTCTGAGATACCTCCCCGACATGAAGGTACTGTATCAAATGCAAGGATGATTTATCTATTCTTTATAATTTGCAGCCCTGGTTTGGAATCCCCAGCTGCAGTATATATTTCCGGGCTCTGCTCTCAAATTGTGTTCTGTTTACCAGGTGTCGAGCACTACAATGAAATAAAGGAGATCAGCATATGTGAGTTCCTGCCTCCTCACTTGGTTATCTACCTAAACCTACCTGTGGAAGAGGTACAGAAGAGACTGAAACAGCATGGAACGGTAAGTGTTGTCAGGTCGGTGTACATTATGTCTATTCTAGGCTACACCTGACGATAGGTTTTGTGTTCGGGGATCACCAGCATGTCCACAAAGACCCGTTACTTTCTTTTTGAAACAACACAAACGTGTGGAAGAATGATGATAATTTAGAATCTAAATTGTATTTCACCTCACCCCCACGCCCTACCAACGTGGCGGCGGGGTGGCCCTCATCTTCCAAGCATCCCTCGGTTTATCCCTTTAATCCTCTGGCTGTTCTCCTCATTTGAGCACCTCACCCTCTACCATTCCTCCGCTCTCACTCAGAATTCTCCTGGTTTACCACCCCCAAAACCTCCTGGCTCCTTCCTCTCCGATATCTCCGCTCTCTTCTCTCTGTCCCTCTGCTCAGAACGCCAGCTCATAATGGGCGACTTCAACCTCCACCTAAACTCCCCTTGCACCACATCCTCAGACTTCACTGCCCTCCTCTCCTCTCTAAACCTCACCCTCCATATCAACTTGCCGACCCACAACCGTGGCCACCCCCTCAACCTAGTCATCACACATGCCCTTGACATTTCCGACCTGTACATCACGGACAAGACCATCTCGGACCACTTCCTCATCTCCTTCTCCTCTTGCATCCCTCTCTCCTCCATCAAGCCCTCAACCATACTTTCCTGCCCATGGAAAAGACTTCCCCCGAGACCCTCACACAGGCCCTCTCATCCTCAGACCTCCTATCTCTGGCCTTCCACCCGCAGTGACCCTGAAGCAACCATCAAGCTGCTCCATGATCCCCTCTCTTCCACCTTCAATTCTCTCGTCCCCCTGAAATCCAGGACCGTCTCCAAACCCACCCATTCCCCCTGGTACAACAGCCATCTCCGCTTCCTAAAATTACAAACCAGGTTACTCGAGCGCAGGTAGCAGAAAACCACTCACGGTTCATCACCAGCTGTGGCTTGAGCATCTTCACAGCTACCGCCCCTCTCTGTCGCAAACAAAAACTGTGCACTATTCAAACATCATGCTGGAGACCAACAATAACTCCAAAATCCTATTCTCCACCGCCCACCACCTCCTCCATGCGCCCCCTCAAGCACCCTCAATCATCACATCTAACGCCATGTACAAAGAGGTCATGGACTTCCTTACCTCTAAAATTCATAACATCTGCCTAGCAGCTTTATCCTTCTGCCCCGTGTCCCCTATCACCACCCCCATTCCATCCCCCTCACCCACCCCGTCCTCAGCTCCTACCATGGTATCCCATCCTACATTCATTTGACTCCATCTCTCCTTCCTCCCTCTTATCTCCCTCTTCTCCCTCCCTTCCCTCCCCCTGACCATTCCCCCCTTGCTCAGGTCCTGACCCAACTGTACAGCGCCTTGGGACGTCCTCCCGACGTGAAAGGCGCTCAATAAATGGAATCTTGTTGTTGTTGTTGTTATCCACCATCACCACCACCTGCTGCCTTGAACCCCTCCCCACCCAACTGCTGATCACCCAGCTCCCCCTCCTCTGCTCACTACTGGAAGACACTACTAACCAGTCTATCTCCTCGGGATCAATCCCACACCCCTCAAAACTACAGTCATCACTCTCCTTAAAAAATCTATCCTCGGCCACTATCTCAAACTTGTCCTTCCTTGCCAAAGCTCTGGAACGTGTTGTTGCCAACCAACTTCGCGCACACCTCTCCCTCCACACCCTACTCGAACCCCTCCAGACCGGTTTCCGCCCTGCCCACAGTACAGAGGCAGTGCTCGTGAAACTCACAAACGATATCTTCTATCTGTGACCAGGGCTCCCTCTGCCTCCTCGTCCTCATGGACCTCTCTGCTGCATTTGACACAGTCGATCACGCCATCCTCCTCCACCGCCTGTCGTCCATTATCCAACTCAGTGGGACCACACTCGCTTGGTTCAAGTCCTACCTTACAAACCGCCAGCACTACATTTCTGCAAATGGCTTTTCTTCTCGCTTCCACCTGGCCACCTGCGGGGTACCCCAAGGATCCATTCTTGCCCCCCTTCTCTTCCTCATCTATCTGCTCCCTCTTGGTGATATCATCCGCAGACACATGGTTAACTTCTACATGTATGCGGAAGTTAACCAACACTCAACTCTACTTTTCCACCTCCAGCTGCAACCCCCAGTCCTCTGATGTTCTGTCAGCTTGTCTGTCGGACATCAAGAGCTGGATAAGCGCAAATTTCCTGCAATTAAACGTCAACAAGATGGAAGCCATACTGTTTAGCTCCCATCGATGTCCTCTATCCCACGGTTCCGACCTCTTCAACCAATACGATCTGTCCTTAAAACTCTCCGAACCCATGTGGAACTTAGACGTCAGGTTCGATTCCCAGTTATTCTTCCTCCCCACATCCAGTCCCTGACCAGCACCACTTTCTTCAATCTCTGCCACATTGCGTGTCTCTGACAACCCAAAAGCTGCCGAAACCCTTGTCCATGCCTTTGTCCTGGACTACTCTAACGCTCTCCTCGACGGTCTCCCCGCCTCCACTATTCGCTAAGTTCAGTTCTGCCCGCATTGTCACCTGCACCAAACTTCGTACCCCGAGTACTCCAGTCCTTGCCAAACTCCACTGGCTCCCTGTCAGAGCGGATCAACTTCAAGATCCTCACTCTGTTTAAATCCTTCCATTCCTTGGCATCCCCCTATCTCTCTAATCTCTCTCCCACAGCACTACCCGCTACCTCCGCTCTACTAGGTCCAGCCTCCTTCATGTCCCCTGAATCCTCCGTGCCTTCACCCACTACTCCCCGAAACTTTGGAACTCCCTCCCTCAACCCCTTTACCTCGCCCCCTCCTTCCCCATTTTCGGGTTGTGTCTGAAGATGTGACCGTTGAAAATAAATAAATAAAAATTGACTGCACCTATAGTCACCTTCCCCCTTCCGCTGGCTGGGCCTCAGGCTCCCCCATTGTTAAACGCTCTGAGACATCGCCTGGTGTGGAGGGTGCTTTATAAATGCAAGTTGTTGTTGTGTGTGTGTGCGCGCCTGTGCGTTTTGTATGCGACCGCACCCGTATGCAACTCCACGCGTGACTGTGTGTGTGTCTGGCAGGAGGGGGTTGGCAGAGTGGGGGAATGTCTGTGTGTATGCATGTATAGATGTGCGTGGGTGGTCGGAGGGAATAGCTGTGTGTGTGTGTGTGTGCGGGGGGGGCGGGTGGCAGAATGGCAGACAATTTGCTCCCTGTTCTAGCCCCACGAACAGAAGATTTCCGCCGGATATCTGCAGGGGATCGAGGATGCTTACAAGAAGTCCTTCCTGCCAAAGATAAGGTGGATGTCTCTCCATGCCTCAATTTCTTATCTCTTTGACTGTCTCAGTATTAAACTCCGTTATTGTTGGTAACACTCAGGCGCTACCCTGTGCGAAGGGCGCTGTATAAATGCTTGTCTTTATCTGGAGTACTATAGCGTAGTGGTTGGTGCTCTCGACTTGCAAGTGAGAGGACCTGGGTTCGGTTCCCAGGCGAGCTGAAACCTTAGGTCCCACCATCAGCGGTTGGGCTTTCAGTCTCTCTGCCTCCACCCTTTCGAAACTCCATCCCACAATTTTTTCACCCTCCTCTTCGACCCTGTCTTGGGCCACCATGCTGCCACGTTTCACCCACAAAATACACAGTCAATTCAATTCAAGTCCTCCTGACGTGAAAGGCTCTATACAAATGTAATTTTGTAATTGTATTTCCAATATATTTTGTGAAGCTCTTTATTGGAACAGGAGTAGGCCATTCAGCCCCTCGAGCCCGTTCAGAGATTCTATAAGATATGGCTGATCTGTACCTCACTCCAATTACCCTCCCTTGTCCCATATCCCTGGATACCCTTTCCTAACAAATACACAATACAAAATTACATTTCTAAAGCGCCTTTCATGTCGGGAGGACATCCCAGGGCGCTGAACAGTTAGGGATTAGGAACCAAGCGGAGTGGGGGTGGTGGGATTGGGATCAGGGAGGGTGGAGGGCAGAGAAGGTAGGAGGGTGACCGAAAGCACGGTCAAAGAGAAAGGTCTTGAAGTGTTCCTTGAAGGAGGCAAAGGGAATGTGGGATGGAATTCCAGAGGTGCGGGCAGAGAGGCTGAAGGCCCGACCACCGATGGCATGTGGATATGGAGCAGGCCGGAGCCTGCTGAGCAGATGGAGCAGACAGGTTGATGAGGGGTTAGGTTGGAGAGGTAGGAATGGCCATGGAGCGCTTTGAAGGTGAAGGTGAGAATTTTGAACTCGATCCTCTGAGGGATGGGGAGCCAGTGAAGACAGGCGAGGGTGGCGTGATGGGGTCATGGAACCTGGTGCCGCAGAGGACACAAGCTGCAGAGTTCTGGATGATCTGAGCTTGTGTAGGGAAGGTTTGAGGAGGCCGACAACAGGGCGTTGATATAGTTGAGCCTGGTTGTAATGAAGGCATGTATGAGGGTTTCGGCAGCCTGAGGAGTGAGGCAGAGGCGGAGTCAGGCAATGTTGCAGAGGTGGGGGAAGGCAGAGAGGGTAATGGCATGGATGTGTGGAAGAAATGGCAGTTGAGGGTCAAACAAGATAATAATAATAATAATAATCCTTGCATTTGATATAGCACTTTTCACGTCAGGAGGACGTCCCAAAGCGCTTCACAGCACATACTGTAAAGTGAATTGACTGTATATTTGTGGGCGAACGCGGCAGCCAATTGCGCACAGCAATGTCCCACAAACAGTCGTAGATTGAAAATGACCAATTTAATTATTGTTTTTGGTTTTGGAGGGATTATTATTAGGCTCTGTGTGGAGTAAGGAAACTTGCCCAAGGTTTCACCCTCTGCCTGGAATTGAACACAGGTCTCACTTGCAAAGCGAGTGCTCTAACCACTGAGCTACAGGACTCCACAAGTACAATAAGTTGTACTTATTACATTTGTTGACTGCCATCCATCTTACTGAATTATACTCTGGGTTATTATATAACTTTAGTTATGCCACTGTGGCCTTAAACGATGGGAATAGTTGCGAGTATTCACACAATGCCTGGGTTCCTGACTGGCTTAATAAGCTGGAGTGTGCATCTGTGGATACTGATGCTGCCAGTGCCTGAGGTTCCATAGCCGCTGACGTGAGCGGCTCCATAGCCGCTGACGTGAGCCAATCAGGAGAGCTTCAGTCTTGCTGACGTTCAACTTTAGAAAGTTGGCTCTCATCCAGGACTTGATGTCTGTCAGGACATAAGTGGTGCTGGGGTTGAGGGTGGAGGCAGAGAGATAGAGTTGGGTGTCATCCGTGTCCATGTAGAAGTTGACCCAATGTCAGCAAATGATGTCACTAAGAGGGAGCATGTACAGGTTGAATAAGAGAGGACAGAGCTGAGGAATACCGCAGGAGACTGTGCGAGGGCTGGAGGAAAAGCCATCTATCCGCCTCAGTCTTGAAAATTTGAATGGATCCAGCATCCACAGCCTTTTGGGGGAGAGAGTTCCAGATTTCCACTACCCTCTGTGAAAAAGTGCCTCCCGATTTCACTCCTAAATGGCCTAGCTCTAATTTTGAGATTATGCCCTCTTGTTCTGGATTCCCCACTAGAGGAAATAGTTCCTCTGTATCTACCCTATTGAACCTCTTTGTGGGAATTTATGGTCGCCAACCTGGTGTTGTAATAGGGCTCTGCTGTACATTAGCTTCAGAGAACGTGACATTCTGACAGCATTTATGTTCTCTTTATGTTCTCTCATTGTGTCAGGTCAAGCCCAGATAGAAACCAGTGATGCTCGTTTCTGTGATAGTTAGCTCAAATGTCAAGTGGATATTTTTCGGAAGTTAGCTCCTGCGTTGAGCCAAGGCCCGGTTTTGTTCCAGGAGGGAAGTTGGATTAAGCAACCGGTCGCGTTCGGTTTCAGTCTGCACAGCAGCGATTTTCAGAGGCTGTTTCAAATTTAAAAAAAAAAATAATTCTCGATTGACCTTTTTAAAGTGTTCTCAGCTCTTTCCACACAGCTCTCTCGAAACCCAAGCGCTCGCCATGGTTCATCTCCTTGTTTGGCCCCCACGCTGCTTTGGAATGTCTTGAGCCAGTTGTCCAGGTTTCTGTTGACTGTAGGCAGACTGTAAGCTGCCTCTGCCAGTGCTCCACACAAGGTAGTCATTAAGGATTGGGTTGAGATGTGTAAAACGTACCCTCCGTTCCTCTGGCTCCGGTCTGCTCCACATCTCCCGCCCCAACCGCCCTACCATTGGTGGCCGGGCCTTCAGCCTCTCAGCCCCGAGGCTCTGGAACTCTATTCCCCAGTGCCTTCGCCGCCTCTTCCCTTTCCTCCTTCAAGGCCGGTCTCAAGAAGGCTTTGACCGAGCCTTCGACTCTCCTCTCGACTCTCTACCCCCTCCTCGCTCCCTCCCTCCCTTCCCTCCCCCTGACCATTTCCCCCCTGCTCGGGTCCTGACCCAACTGTACAGCACCTTGGGACGTCCTCCTGACATGAAAGGCGCTCTATAAATGAATCTTGTTGTTGTTGTTGTAAAAAGAGACTGGATTAGTTTCAAACCTAGCTCCCAGAGATGTGGGAGCAACCGCTTCTCTCCTCAGGAATCTTGGAGGTTGACAATTTTGAAATCCTATGTGGTTTGTGTGTAGAATAGAATAGCTACATTGTCAGAGATGCCATCTTTGAGCAGAGTCGTTAAACCAAGGTCCCCTCTGCCTTTAAAATCTTGTGACCCCATTGGAAAACAGAAGGGAGATATCTCCTGGAGTCCTGGCCAATAATCGTCCACATTAAATGGTCATTTGCCTCATGGCTGTTTCTGGGACCTTGCTGGTGCAAATCACTGTCACATTTGCCTCCAAAAACAGTTACTGCACAGCGTTTTAAGTCACAGTATGACGAAGCTCTGAAAAAATTCAGTTTTTCTCCTATGGTTTCCAGCTGGTAATGTGACCTAAGTAGGGAACTGTCTGTGCTCTCATTGCCCGTTGTTGATGTTGGCATTTTGTTTCCACAGTGAGGTGAGCGAGGTGCTAGAGTACAGCGGGTTGCAGCTTCCTGAAACGGAGCGGGTAAGTGCTGGCGGCCTGGGGGTGAGGCCTCATCTGGTTACATCCAACTAGTGACTCTCCTCTTTTGAGGGGAGGTAAGCAGGGTCTCCTTGGAGCTGAACTGGCTCCAAAGTGACCTGCCTATCAATGGAATGTTGGAATCAAGCCTATGCTCTGTGCCGGTCTCACTAGTCTGGTTCTTGAGTCAGACCCCCCACCAAATAAACCCTGACAGTGCAACGCCGTGGAGCTTTCATTGTCTGTCAGATTTGAATTGGATGTTAACCCGAGGACCTGTTGCCTGTTCAAGTAGCGAAAGGGTATGATATAGACGCTTAAAAACAAAAACCGATATCTTTATTCCCTGTAAAGGCACAGTGAGAGAACATTCCCTGGCCCAGGTTCGTCACTGTATTTTTCCATGTTAAACAACATCTGCCATACATCAGCCCCGTTACCTAATCTGTCCAAATCTCTCTTTAGCCTGCTTGCTCCCTGGTATTAGCATCCCCACACATAAACCAAGAAGCAATTAAAAGAATTCTTAAGACAAAGATGTAGTTTTGTGACTTTAGAGAAGTTCACCATTACCCAGATTAAATTCTCAAGTCTCTTGTCAAAAGCCTTTGACTGTGACTCAATAGAGTGCAAGTCTGGGTTCAGCTACGTGGCTCCCAGTGCCGCGGTTTGTCTTTGTTATTTCAATTAAAATAACAAACCGCACCCAAAGAAGTCTTTCAACTCCGCCTTTGTTCTGTAAATTATAGACATTTCCAGCTTAAAAACAGAGTGTACAATGCTCTGCGCAACCTGCTCCCAGTCAGTCAAAGATACAACAGCCAGAAATAGATAGGCTCAGCGCAGTCCTGATTGGCTGAAGCCAATGGGACTGATTGGAACCTGTCTGAGGAAAGGTTGCTTGCTTAACAGTAACGGGAATGTTGATTTAATTTGCATTTCTGCAAAGAAACGTCAGTCACAATGTGCAAGTAAAATGGTACCGGGGGGCTCGTCTGTCTCGTACAGCGGGGGGGGCGCTCTTACTGTCTCGTACAGTGCGGGAGGAGGGGACTGCCTCCTAATTGGAGACCCTGGAAGTGGTTTGAGTGATTGTCAGTTTTCACAGAATGTGGGACTTCTTTCAGACCCTGGCTTTTGCTCAATGTGGATCTCATAGTTTCAGAAGTGCTTTTAAATTGCTTTTAAGTGGAGCCAGGCTTGGAATTGCGTGATATTAAGTGTTTTACAATAGCAGCCAACCTTGGCATCATCTGCAACACGTTAGTGCTCGCTCTTCTCTTTCCTCCACCCACGCCACATACACGTTCTCTCTCACTTGTTCACTCCCTTTCTCACTGACTCTTTCACTCCCTCCCTCACACTCAATCGCCCATTCCCTCACTCATTCTTTCACTCTCTCACACTCGCTCATTTGCTCTGTTGCTGTCTCTCACACATCCCAAATCCCTCATTTACTGAGTGTGAACACATTACAGTCATTTGCTTCTCAAGTTAAATAAAGGAAATTGACCCCTTAATAATAATCTTTCCATTTGATATAACGCCTTATATTGTTGAGACGTCTCAAATTATATAGTGTAGAGTGGATTGGCTGTGTATACTGTGGGCACAATGTGTATGATTAGGATGAATGTATCTATCACTTGGTGTGGAGCCAAAGTACATGCCTTTCTGTGTAGACAAATACTTTTCGTTTTCCCCCTTTCCTCAGACCGTTGTCTGCAGGGAGACTGAGCTGAGGTCTGGTTGCTGATATCCTACAATACAAAACAATTTTTTACTTATAGAGCACCTTTTATGTTGGGAGGATCTCCCAAGGCAATAATGACTTATATTGTCCAGCCAAGATCCCCTGCCTCCCCCCTCTTACCCCAATATAAACACCTAACAATCCTGCATGTGAACATTGTACAAAGATCACTGTTGTGTGTTCTGCTCTGGTGATAGCACATGCTAGACTCCCAATACCACTCCCACCTAACCTGTGGCGAAATCTTGACTTATATACTTTCCAAGGGCTCCGATACTCTGTCCATCCCTCAGTCTTCTGTCTTTGTACAGGGTGTCCACAAAGACTTCTTACCCTTTCTGCCCCAACCCCCTACAGAGCACTGACCAACAATTGAAACGTGGAAGACTGTTGATAATTGGATTTAGAAGTACTTCATTGTATTCAGTCCAAGTGTTCAATTGTATTTAGACGTCCAGACGATCGGTATGAGCACCATCATTTTCATGGTTGCCATGTCCAGTGTGACATTTTCCATAACATGATGGAGTGATGAGACAAAATAGATCTCTGACAGCTTGTTTCAGCTCCTCTGTAGTCTCATATTACTGTTTTGTAACAGGGAGTAAGAGAACTTTGTAGACACCCTGTAAAATCTATACTAGAATTTTTTCAAGCCTATATCTGTGAAGAAGTCATTTCATGCTTTACCTCCTTTTCGGTGGAGGCTGGTATCTTGGGCCTATTTGGGTAACCAAAAAAAAATGTAGAAAGACTAAGCTTAATGTGGTGAGAATCGGTGTTGGGGGTTGGACGCCTGGCATGACGTCATTTACCAGGCTGCCACTGTCATTATAGATCATCGAAGACCTGGAGCTCTTGAAGTGGGATAAAGGACCCTGGCTGGAGCAAGATGATGTGACCTTCCACAAGCTCAGGGTCCTGTGAGTACAAAATGCATTTATACAGTGCCTATAACGTTATTGGACAACCAAAAGTTTGCACCCGAGCTGGGGCTTGGATTCAGAAGAGTTGGGGGCCAAGGGGGTTGGGAAGATGACTGAAGGCACAGTGAAAGAGGAGGGTCTTGAGATGGATCATGAAGGAGGCAAAGGAAGGGGTGAGGTGAAGGGGCTCTGGGATGGAGTTCCTGAGGGTGGGAGCAGAAAGGCTGAAGGCTCGACTGCCGATGTGGAGCAGGTCAATGCCCTCCGAGCGGAGAGAGCAGGTGATTCTGTAGGGTTTTAGGTCGCAGAGGTACGAAGGTGCAAGACTGGAGGGCTTTAAAAGTGAGGAAGAGGATCTTGAACTTGATTCTCTGGGAGATGTGGAGCCAGGCGAGGACTGAGGTGATTGGCTCACAGAGCTTAGTGCGGAGAGGACACAAAGCTACAGAGTTCTGGATAGTCTGCAGCTTGTGGAGAGTTGCTGAGCAGAGAGTTGGTGAATCTGGATGTTATAAATGAAAGGAATAAAGGCCTCAGTAACCCAAGGGGAGAGGCAGTGGCGGAGCTGGGCAATGTTGCGGAGGTGGGGGATAGCAGAATGGGTCAAGGCACGGCTGTGGAGCTTAAAGGACAGTTAAGATTTGAACAAGTTGTCAAGGTTCTGTACTGGCTCAGTGAGGTGGAGTGTATATCCATGTAGATTGATGCTGTCAGCGCCTGAGGTGTGGAGGTGCTGACCGGAGCCAATCAGGAGGGCCTTGGTCTTGTCAACATTCAACTGGAGAGAGTTAGCTCTCATCCAGGACTTGATAATCATTCACGACAGCAGTTGTCTGGAAATTGAGGGTGGAGGCAGAGAGATGTGTCAAACCTGGTATCACCCAGTCAGTGTGGCACTCTTGCTCTGCCCCTAAAGATGGTGGGTTAAGCCTCCCCATCGGGGTGGAGCTCGGTCTAGGCTGACAGTGCAGTGCTGGGGGGAGCGCTTGTTGGAGGTGCCGTCCTTCTGGTGGTGTTATTGGAAAAGACCAGGGAATGTTCCAATTCCTTCCCCACCCCCCACCCTCTCTATTGGCTCACCCCCACAGCGGTCTGGGCTGAGAGATGTGTATGACCCTCCCCCTCAACTCTCTCTCCCTCTCACACACACACACACACACACACACACACAGAGTCAGCTGCTCTCCCCTGCATTAGTCTAAAGAAATCTGCCGACATCCGCACTGGCTGAGGGTTGAGGTTTCTGTTCCCTCACACACCACTCCTCTCTGCCTGGCTGATGCTCACAGTTGGCTCTTTTGCAGATCGTGATTCCTGCTCTTTTCCACTTTAATATTAGTTCATTGCAGCTCTATAAATGCCAGATGTGAGATTTAAGTGTCCTATTATTTATTATTATGGCACATGATTGGTGCCCCTCTCTAGCCCAGGGAGGCCAGTTGTAGTGCTTATAAGGCTAACTCAGCAAACTTCAGTCAGCAATAATAGAGAGCGGGTGGTAGAAAACTGGAGTGGATTTCTGATTCCAGTTTGTTGTGGCATTTCGCTCACATTCGCCCTCTTCCCACCACCCTCACCCTCGGTCGTTGCCAGCACACATGTGTCCACCGCTCTGAGATGTTGCATTGTGTGTGAAATTAACTTGTTTAACTAACTTGTTTGTTCTTTCTCAGTGAGCTGTTTGTATTGCACGAGTGTCCTCTAGTGGCCGAGCTGGCTCACTGCAGCACAGCCCACACCAAGTCCACATCCCATAGTTTCAGATGATACTCCAATGCAGTGTTAGGGATGCACTGACTGTAGTCAGTCAGGTTTAGTGACTGTATATTTTGTGAGTGAAACGCAAGGATTATTATCTTTTTCATTCTTCCTCATTTCACTCCCATTTTCCCCCTCGATGGGGCCTTGCATCGTCCCCACGTCCATTAATCCTGGCAGGACTCCCCCTCACGGACTGTCTGCTGAGACAATAGCCTTACCTTTGTGTGGAAACTCAGGCCTGCGAGGCTGAAAACTAGCGGGGAGGGGGATTAACACAGCTATGTCTAGGGGGCTGGACACAGAGGGTAGCATGGAGAGAATGGGTAGGTGGAGAGGGTGGAGGAGGTAGTGGCATGAGCGGATGAGGCAGCTGATGTTCAATCTACCAACTGCTCAGTGCTCAGGAGGATGGTTTGTGTGCCGTGAGTCGGTGACTGAGCTGGAAATATTCTGTCTCTAACCTTCTCCCTCCCTGGCTGATGATGTGTCTAACATTGGCAGTTGTGTCTCTGAGCAGGGTGGAAAACAAGCAGGCCGTGGCTGACTTAACCATCATCCCCAAGTTCATCCCAGAGATCACCATCGGAGCCCACGAATTTGATGAAGCATTTTACAAATACAAAGAGGTGAGAGCTACCATCAGCAACAGCACGGATTCAAACGGAGTAAAGTTCCCGTACACCATTCGTATACACTCCCCGGTCAGGTTAGAGCTCCCCCTATACTGTCCATCCATCCCAGGTCAGCGACAACATGGGTTAGAGACAGAGTAAAGCTCCCCATGTACTGGAGTACTCACGGGTCAGATACAGAATGAGTTAGAGACTAATTGCACACCTCCCCAACAATGGGCATGTTTTATTTTTATATATATATATATATATATAACTGGTGCCAGATCAAACTGTGGGTGGGTCAGGGTGGGTTCAAGTATCGGCTGTGGGTGGGAGGGATGCATTGCTGGTGGTGCGAGATGTTTGTTGAGAGGGGAACTGTGTGGTTCGGGGAAAGACGGAGCTGAATGGGTTAGTTGGGTACGAGAATGATTGAGAGACATTCTTTGTCTTTGGGTACCAGACATTTTCTGGATCAGTGACCAACCTGTGCAGCAGGTAGCACACGGCCATTACCTGCCCATCAACGAGCTGGGACTCACTGTGTCCTGATCTCAGTAACGAGAGAGGCAGTAAACAGATATCAATGCTCTGTGTCCTGATCTTGGTAACAGGACAGGTGAGATCAGATTTCAACACTTTTCTCTTCTCAGCGGCCGGGTAGGCAGTATCAGAAAGGTTACAATGAAGACGTGGGAGACAAGTGGATTTGGTTGAAATGACGGTGGGCGCTCTCTAGAGAAGGCTCTGTAACCTCTGATTCTGCTCTTCGAAGCTGCTGATCTCGGGCAGGGACGACTCAGTGGGCTCAGTGTTGCAGCTAGTCACTGTATGTCCTTCAGCCCATGTACAACATTTCAAGCATCTTTGTCTTGTTCGTAGCTAATAAAACTTGAAATATAAACAGGCTTCCTGTTGTTGAATTGAGTTCCAGGTGTCTGGTTGTGTGTTAAAGGAGCAGAGTTTTGACGGGATATTGTAATGAGACAGCATTAGATCCCCTCTAGTTTAGCCATGATGGTCGACTGGTCTCCGAATTTTGACATGAAAGATGGCTGCTGTATTGACTCTCGTTTCAGACCAGCGACCAGCCCACTAATTCCCTCCACTCTGACCATCCAGCACAAACTACATTTCAATGGGGTTTTTCCCAATGATGGATATTTTCACTTCTGGGAGCTGGATTCTTTAATAATAACAATAATAATACTTTCATTTGTTATCACATCATTGAGATGCTTCAAAGGATATACTGTGTATTTTGTGTGTGAAACACGGCAGCCAATCATGCACAGCAGTGTTCCACAAGCAGTCATGGATTCAGTCACCAAATTTATTTATTTTGAGGAATTATTGCCCCCGGAAAGTGATCCGCCAAGTAATGAACAACCAGGTTCCTACTTTTACTGCTAGGTAAGCAGAGGCATGTGGAGTAAGGAAACCTAAGGTTTCGCCCTGCCCGGGAATCAACCCCGGGTCCTCTCACTTGTGAGGAGAGCGCACTAACCCCTATGCTACAGGACTCCTGTGATGGGGGCTGGGCCTGGCCGAAGTAGAGGGTTGTGACCTGATATCAGTGGGTTATACAGTGGTCACACTCACCATCCAAGACCATCATCAAGGAAAACATTGACATCCTCATCCTCACACCAACCGGCTACACTTTTCATCATATCCCATGACCTAACCACATTATTTACCGCCCCCCCCCCCCCCCCCCGACTTCTCTCCTCCCACAACCTCTCTCTCCACATCAACTCTGCCGCCCACGTCCACGGTCAACCTTTTGATTTGGTGATCATCTGGGCCCTCAATGCCAAGACATCACCATCATTGACAAAGCCAATTCAGATCACTGCTTCATCTCCCTTAACTCCTCATCTTCCCTCACTTTCATTATCTCAAAAATGAAGCCCACCACTTGCTCCCTTGACCCAATCCCCACCACTCACCTTATCTACCAGCTCACCTCTTGGCCCCTCTTTTAACCAACATCATCAGCTTCTCCTTATCCACTGGCACTATTCCCATCCCTCTAAAAACAGCTGTCACCACCATCCTCAAATACACCTTCCCTGGACCCATCACTATTCTACAGCTATCAGCCCATCTCTGCTTCCTCGACCTCTCTACCACCTTCAACACTGTCAACCATTCTATCCTCCTCCATTGCCTCTCCTCAGCTCAATCTAATAGTTCCAAGATCCTGGTCCTCACCTACAAAACCCTCCACAGCCTCGCTTCTCCTTACCTGTCACCTCACCTCCTACCAACTTGTCTGCTCCCCACGCTCAGTGGGCTCTGGCCTGCTTCACGTCCCCTGCCTTGCCCGTCCCACTATTGGTGGATGGGCCTTCAGCCTCTTGCGGCCTGATATCACAGCAGCTTGATAACCTCACTTTTTTTTCACTTGCTGTCTTCATTTGAGTCCCTATCCACCCCTTTTAATCCCAACCCCCAGGTCGGGTCCAAATCACTGACTGTCCAGCGCCTTGGAACATCTCCCCAAAGTGAAAGGTGCTATACAAATGTAATTTGTTGATATTATACAAAACATATGGCTGATCCTCTAAATGTATTTACCTTTCCATTCCTGGGCGTTATCACTGAAGCCGAGCTGCTCTCCCCTCTGCAGGTGTTCAGATTATGTTTAGTCATGTCCTGGCATCGTGTAATAAAAGGTCAAAGGCGGAGACATTTACTAGGTATTTATTATTTCACACTTTAAATACTTGAGAGCCAAATGGAAATAATTTTTTTTCAACTTCCACGTCTCCATTTTTGCACAAGATGTTCATCGCCCGGTGAGCTACACTGCCAATAAACATGTTCCCGCATAGTTCATTCACGTATTCACAGTTGAGCTGTCAGCTTCACGTTCAAGATTGCAGGCTTTTGTCCCTCCATTGAGATGCCTCTGGTTGCAGACAAGCCAATAATCAGTCCCGCCAGTTGTCATCATGCCACACAGGAGCTGGTGACAACCGGCTCAACACCAAGTTTCAAGTGCCAATCCTTCCACTTCCCACAACGCCGCGTCCGATTGAGAATCTTGCTGCTTGGTGCTGGCAGCGAGTAAAGGTTGGGACAGATTGGCAAGGCGGGGATGGGCTCCATTTCATACAGCATTTGGTGTTTCCCAAGGGGCACTGCGTCGTTTTCCCAGAAGAGGAACGAAGAGGGTGGAAAAAAGGCAGCGGGTGTTTTTGTCATGAATATACTCTTTAATAAATGGAATATGCAGGATTTTACAGCCAGCCAGTCAACCTCAATAAATCAGCAAACTTTACGAGTCATCTCTCCTGTTCCAAAGTTAAAGCCATTTACTTACTCTTTTACAGTATTCATAGAAAACTGGGAGTGGCTTCACTCCTTCCTGTGCTGTGTTTTTTCAGTTTTTTTTTGTATTCTGAAGACGACAGTGGTTTTTAATAGCTTCATTCATACACACTTGACTTTACAACAACCATGCAGCACACACAGTCTCTACAAAAAACACCTCCGTGTGTGACCCGTAATTTATACAGGTCGCCGTGGAAATAATAAATGTGAGGAGGGCGAGGAGAGAGAATTGTTTTAATAAAAAGCGATCTTTAGCCTCATTGGAGACGTCCTGGGTTTATATAACATACCTTTTGCCAGAAACATCTGAGAAACGTGCCAGAGTCCGCCAGTCAGCTCTGAGTGACTATAACCCACTTTGATATACACAACCAGCAAAGGTCAGGTGGGGGGAGCAAGATAAATAAATTGTATCAATATTATACATGAGAATTGTTTTATAGTATTTGTGTTACATCAGAGAAAGTAATTTGGGTAACAAGTTTGCGCTACAGTTCAGACTCTCAGGGCAAGTATGTGCTCTGAGCTGTGGGATTGTCACACATTGGCAGAGGCTTGGGGGCTGTTGGAGAATGGGGACATCCTGGATGGAGGCGGGGGCAGAACTGGACCTCAGAAGTAATGTCTAATTTGTGCCTTAAGTTTGTATTCTCTCTCCTGTACAAGCCACCTATTCTAATTAACAAGTGCTGTTCTGCATATTAGACATACGTAGGGGTACAAAACTCTTTTCTCACCTCACATCCTAAACTTCAGGTCACCTCAATTCCAAGTTGAGGACTATTCCCTTCCTCCTGCAGGACGTGAGGCTCCACAATGTTTTTGAGTCTAAAACCCTGAATGTCCAACCCTTAGGGTTTTGAGTACACACCAATTCTGGTGATTTAAATGTTTCAATTCAACTTTCCTATTGAAAGCGAAACGAAAGAGATTGTCACAAAAGAAACAAAAGATATAGTAAACTTGAAAAGACCCATAATACCACCAATAATAAGATCCAAGGGATTCAAAGGGCTGTAAATGGGGAAACAAATCACCGAAAAATTGCTATGTTGTTTCTGATTTAGTTCCTCAGGAACACACAATAGTGTCTGCACTGTCACCTGTCCAGCCTGAAGGGCCCTATTTCTCATTCTATATAAGTGCAAGTTGTCTTTTTTGTTACAAAATTCATGCAAGAATTTGTAAATAACAGAATAGATAATAGCTTTCAAAAGGAAATTGGATAGGTACATAAAAATGAAAAACTTGCAGGGCTATGAGGTAAAAGCGGGAGAGTGGGACAAGTTGGTAGCTCTTTCAAAGAGCTGGCACAGGCACGATGGGTCGAATGGCCTCCTTCTTGCTGTATGATTCTATGAATTCCAAATGTGACAGGGTCTCTGGAACTCGTACCTCTCGAAACATCCAAATCCATGGAGACAGCGTCTGTGCGGGTTCCGGAATCTGGGATTCACTGGTTACTAATGTTTTGTGAGGCTTACAAATTTAGACCCCTGTAATGTCATGTGGTTATGTATGGAGGGGACAGGGTGCAGGCTCCCACTGCACTGTTGAGCAGCAATCCTTGTAGCTTTAAAGATAAGGAAGCAGGAAATACAACACAGACTTCACCCACACAGTCCAATCATCTTAACCTCCCTCTGTGAGCAGTTCTGAGGTTGGGGAGTAACCACTGACCTATGGTGTATCAAGAGCAATTTGCTCCTCTGAGTGATCTCAGCTGTGTGTGTGAGTGCATGCTCTTCCCACTCAGCTTCTGTTAAACCTGCAAGCCAAAGCCCTAAGGGTCCTCGCTGGACAAGCAGCAGGAAAGCTTGCCAGACAGCGATATCAATGGCAAACTATGCGGTTATAGCTGGTTAGACTCCAGCAGTTACTGCAACGCACTCTGGGGTCCTCAAGCCTTGGCTCTAACCAACCTGCGCCTAATACTCTCCGGAATTAGGTAAGCAAGTTGTGTCCCTCCAGGGAGAGTGCGCATTCCATTCCAACAATCCATCTCTGGGATTTCCATGTAGAGGTGGGATGCGTGGAATTCTCAGCTCGGTTTGGATACTCTTTTAAGCTTGGTGATGGGTTTCTGCAAATTGTCAAGACACCCGGCTGACCAAATAACGTGTATGTGTGGCCGGGGGGTGGGGGGGGCAATGAATGATTGCCGGCAGATTAACATAACACTGTGTGGTTATGTTTCAAAGTAATTCATTCTGGAAGCGCCATCATTCAGGCGCAACAATCGATGCTGTGACTAGAGGGGCAATGAGAGCAAATTCAGGGGTGGTGATGTGCTGAGCCAGAGACACTGAGGCAGGGGAGACAGCATGTGTGATAGAAGCAAGTTTAACTCTGTCATCAAGGTTTTACAGTCTAATTACACGTAGGCTGCTCAGTCAGGACAGGAATCTGTCAAGCAGAGTCTGGCCTCAACCAAGCTTCCTGCTGGCTACCTCTGACCTTCACGCTGAGCCCACAGTGACTGATGCCCTTATATAAAGAAGTGTTGTCTCTACTCCTGGCCTGTCAGTAGTCGATTCCAGCAGTACATGGAGGAAGTCTGTAGCCATGATGAGTCACCCAGTGGGGCTCGCTAACCTTCTCAATACTGACTGGCAGAGCAGAGAGATCGCTGGAGAGACTCCACTGAGCAGTGCACAGAGCAACCCATCAGCAGCAATGTGCCTATCATGTGGCTCTGTTGGGAGAAGGAATCAAGATTTTGTGTTTCTGTCGGCAGAAGGAATCAAGTGCTTAGTCAAGTAGCCTTAACTTTCAATTGAACATTTTGAGCAAGGCCTGGGGGTGAGGGGCGATGGTTGAGAATAGCCATCGATAAAGGAGGAGCAGAAGGGGAGGGGGGGTTAGATATCTGTGGGCTGCAGCCCTCTCTCCATCGGGAAACAGGAGAGAGTGTGCTGCTTCATGTCTCCTGCCCCCATTCGGTGCTACCAACCATCAGTGAGATACAGAGACAGGTGGGAGGGGAGGAGTGGGGCAGAAAGGGAAAGAGAGAGTAACGGGAAGGATTAGGAGAGAGGGGTTTGAAGAGACAACTCTTAAATAATTATTTCTTTTTTAAAGAAAGCATTGCCAAACTAAGCCTATTGCACATTCCAACAAGATTTATAAAGTCGTGGGGAGCGATGGTTGGTCTCCATCCTTGGCTCGGCTCAAAATGCCAGCCTGACACAACAACACGAGTTACACCTGCCTCCAAACCCCTCTCCACAATCATACAGACTCATTGCAGCTGCTCTATATTGATTGTTGATGCTATTTAGTTTTAGGCACATTCCCCTACCCCCATCACCCATTTTTTGTCAGTAATAATATCGGACAGGATTTGAGATTATTTCCCCGATTAAAAAGTGCAACAACGAAAAGAAAAGCTTATAAAATATGATGGAATAGAAATGCATTGCTGCAAAGCTGGAATCTAGGTTAAACAAAACACTCTGTGTCTGGAGAAGGAGGAGAGAGAGGCGGGGGAGAGGTGGAGGGGGAGGGAGAGGCGGGGAGGGAGAAAGGCAGAGGGGAGGTAGAGAGAGGCGGTGGGGAGAGAGAGGCGGAGGGGAGGAGAGAGAGAGAGGATGGGGGGGAGAGAGAGAGAGGATGGGGGGAAAGAGAGGATGGGGGGAAAGAGAGGATGGGGGGAAAGAGAGGATGGGAGGGAGAGGATGGGAGGGAGAGGATGGGAGGGGGGGGAGAGAGGATGGGAGGGGGGGAGAGAGGATGGGGGGGAAGAGAGGATGGGGGGGAGAGAGGATGGGAGGGTGGGGGAGAGAGGATGGGAGGGTGGGGGGAGAGAGGATGGGAGGGTGGGGGGAGAGAGGATGGGAGGGTGGGGGGGAGAGAGGATGGGAGGGTGGGGCGGAGAGAGGATGGGAGGGTGGGGGGGAGAGAGGATGGGAGGGTGGGGGGGGAGAGAGGATGGGAGGGTGGGGGGGAGCGCGGATGGGAGGGTTGGGGGGAGCGCGGATGGGAGGGTGGGGGGGAGCGAGGATGGGGGGGGCCGTGGTTTAAAAGGCCGTTCAGTTTCAATTCTCTTTCACAACGGAACGGAGGAAGAGTTATCAGCAGGAAGAAGGGGATGGGAGGAGGTGATCAAAACGAATTCACAGGCAGTTCAGTCCCGTTTCCCGGGGGAGGGGAGCTGTGGCGATGGTGGTGTTGCTGCCCACCATGTAGACAGCAGTGCTGGATTTGCAGCGAGTGGCCCCGTTGTTGTTCACTTCTCCGTCGATGGCTTCGGTGGAGATGACCCACGTGGAGGGCCGCCATCTCTTCAGGGAGTAGGGCGTTTTGACTCGTTTCTTTATCTTGTCCCCCGGCGCTGGCTTGCTCTCCCGTGCTGCTGTCTCACCTGCTGGCAGCAAAGCGCACACCTGCAGTGATGGCTGGTAGCATCCTGACATCAACCTGCTTCTCCGCAGACCCCCCCCATACCTCCACCCCGTTTGCAGTCTGGATCAATTTCAACCTCTTTACACTCACCTGCACTCACTCACTTCATGCCCTGGCACCTCCTTACCTCTCCGACACCCCAATCCTCTACACTACCACCTACACTCAGCTGGCTTCAGCCTCCTGCTTGTCTCTCACCCACTCCCCCATCGGTGGCCGTGCTTTCAGCCACTTCTGCCTCAATCCCTGCAGATTCCCCATTTTCAGATCACGCCTGAAGACCTTCCTTTTCAACCGGTCAACAACTCCCTCCCCTCAGCTCGGCGTCAAGCTCCGCCCTGTTAAGTGATCCAAAACGCTGCCCCAAGTGAAAGGCCCTGTGTAAATGCAAGTTTTTGTTATGTTTGTGGGAGTGTATGTGCACCTACGTGCATAAATGTGTATTATTACATATTGGCATATGTACAATTGCACTATCCATGTGACTGTATATAATAATAATCATTGTAACTGCTTTAGTGCCTTATCACATTGCTGAGACGTCTCAAAGTGTTTCACAGGATATACTGTAAAGTTTTATTTACTGTGTGTTTTGTGGGCAAACTGTTGTCAGCCTGGCTCAGTGGTAGCGCTCTCGGCTCTCAGTCAGAAGGTTGTGAGTTCAAGCCCCACATCAGGTCCAAGCTGACACTCCAAAGCTATCCTGGGGTTGAGTTGCATTGTCGGAGATGCCGTCCTTCAGATGAGACGTTAAACCGAGGTCCTGTCTGCCTGTTCAGGTGGACGTTAAAGATCCTATGGCGCTATTTGAAAAGAGAAGAGTTTCTCCCAAATAAAATTGGTCACTCACTCCAGGCTGTTTGAGGGATATTTCTGTGTGTAATTGGCTGCTGAATTTTGCCCACAACATCAGTCACTCTACTTCCTGTGAAGCGCTTTGAGATGTCTCCTCGACGTGACAAAGTGTTGTATGAAATATGCAGTAGTTATGCGTGTGTGTGCGCCCTTGTGGGTGTGTATGTACATAGGGAGCTCTGGCACTGTACAGGGTGTCCACAAAGGTCTCTAATGCCGTGTTACAAAACAGTGATAAGAGGAACTGACACAAGCTGCCAGAGACACATTTTGTCTCATCACTCTATCGTGTTATCATGATATCTATCATGTGTCGCACTGAACATGGTGACGGATCATTATCTGTCATGAAAATGATGGCGCTCAGACTGATCCTCTGGATGTCTAAATACAGCTAAACACTGTGTAAAAAAAGCATGAGGGTAACAGGTTATCATGGACCCCTGTACACATACACAGAGTCTGTGCTGGGACTTACATTGCAGAGTGCAGCCATCCGGAGTGCTGGCCGACGAGAGGTCCAGGGAATTGGGCCGCTGTGCTCTCCTGGGCTGGTGATGTGCTGGAGCCAGGGGCTGAGGATGGATGTCTGTCCCGGAGGTGTCTGGCCCCTCGCTCGCGGCCCCCCGCTGGCCACTGTTGTTGTTGTTATTGGAGTTGACTCTGGTGGAGTCTGTCAGTCGCTCCATCAGCCCCTGGTCCCGGGTTGGCCTCTGTTCTCTCCTCAGCAGCGGCTCATGCTCGTCAGGGCTGGGGTTAATGTTGATATTCATACGGCTATCGTCTCCGCTCAGTTGTGACCGCAGGAGCTCCTGAGCTCTGGGTGCTGCCGGCTGGACTCCAGGCACCGAGCCATTGGTGTACTGTGGGTGAGCGCGAGGGCGGGCACCATGCCCCCTGCCCACTACCCCATTGACAGTGACCGTCACTACCTGAGGCTCACCCGCAGTGACGGCGTTCAGCTTCGCTACACCTGTTTCCACCTGCTTCAGGTTGGACTTATGTTTGCTGCTGCCGAACTTGAGCCGGGGCTCCTTGGGGCCAAGGGGTAGGCTGGTGGGTCTCTTGGGCAGGTTCTGCTGCTTGGGCAGTGGGTAGAGGTGAGCGGGGGCAGGTGGCAGGTCAGTTAGCGGGCAGGCCTGGACCGAGCCTGGCTGAGACACGTCTGGCTGTCCGGTCACCTCAGCTGCCAGCTTGATCAGTGGGTACAGGAGCCCGGGTTTGGTACCACCGAGGGGGTCAGAGACACTGAACTGTTTCATGGAATGTTCCATCAGGTTCTCATCCGAGCTCTCCTTCAGGTTCTTGTCCACCTCCTTGGGGTCCAGTTTGTTGGTCTCCAGATCCTCCTCGGTCAACTGCAGACACCCGGGGGTGGGCTGCCCCTCGCCCTCCTGAGGGTACGGTGCCTCGGAGATGGTGGACATGGCAGTGCTGGGCGTCAGGCCAGCCGTGTTGGTGGTGCCTGACAGGCTGGTCACGCTGGTCTCGGGGCTCGGCACCCGGGCTTGCGCCTGTTGCCGCTCATAGTTGATAGAATTGCGGTTTTTCTCGCTGCCGTTAGAGGACGTGCCCGACACCGAGGTCTCAGTCGAGAGATTCTTCACCAGCCCATCTGTGTGGTGGACCGGGTCCTCAATGTACGAGGAAGTGGAGTAGTCAGGGTAAGGCCCCACTTTAGGCACCCGGCGGCTGTGAGACAGGTTCCTGTAAACAGGTGAGCATAAACAACAACAATAATAGTAAAACTCGCATAAAAGTCTTAAATGGTATAATTGCCTGAGGCACACAGCTTGGCTCAGTTGGCAGCACTTTCATATCTGAGTCAGAAGGTTGTGGGTTCAGTCTCGAGTCGGGACTCGGAACCACATCATTATAGCTGACACTGTCTGAAGAGCTGGAGGTGTGTTACATTGTCGGAGGCGCAGACCTTCGGAAGAGACATTAAACCGAGGTCCCAGCTGCTGTTCAGGTGGATTTTAAAGATCCCATGGCACTATTTGAAATGAGAAGGAAGATTCTCTCTCCCACTGTCCTGGCTAACAATCCCCCAAATAACAACTGGTCACTCACTTCACGGCTGTTTGTGTGATGTTGCTGTGCGCCAACTTGCTACCGTATTCGTCCACAAAATATAGTCACTTCACTTTACAGTATATCCCGTGAAGCACTTTGAGACATCTCGATGATGTGATATTACATCAAATGCAAGGATTATTATTATTATTTGACAACCGCCATTCAGTTTCCTATAAAACCACTCTGATTTCTTTGCAATAGTTGTATAAATCATCTCCTAACTCGTAACGCCACTGCTGTATCCTCCTTACTCCCTCACTTCCCGGCTACATTGAATTATGCACGAGCAGTGTACATTATTGATCAAAGTAAACTTTATATGATTTATACAGTTTGCCTGCAACTCTGCCTTCACGAAAGTCATATTAAATGTTATGATCCTGACTGATACAACTTATATTGCAATAACAATAATCCTTGCATTTGATACAGAGCCTTTCCATGTTGTTGAGTCATCTCAAAATGCTTCGCAGGATAAAATGTAAAGTTGATTGACAGTATTTTGTGGGCGAATGCAACAGCTCAATTTGCAAACAGCAATATCCCACAAACAGCCATGGAGAGAGTGACTGTATTTATCTGGGGGACTGCTGACATCGGAAGAGAGAAACTCCATTCTTTGTCCAATAGAGCAACAGGATCATTAACATCCACCTGAACAGGCAGACAGGCTTCGGCTTAACATCTCATCCAAAGGATTATAATAATGTCACCTCATGTTATTATAATCATAATCCTTACATTTGATATAGGAATGGGACACTGTTGCTCCCCCTGCCCCAGCAGCAGGAGTCGCCGATAGCTAAGTACTTGGTTGTGAGTGATGCCTTCCTAACAGACTGCAGTAACAGCCGATATTATTTCCACTCCCCACGCTGAGTCCTCCCAACCGACGGCTCCTACGCTGCCATAGGAAGGACGTTTAATGGGGGGGAGGAAGCCAATTTTCCGATATTGCCTACATATCATAACCCATGCAGCAACTTGTACCTGCAGCTCACCAACCTTATTTGTTATGCTCCATTCATTTACGCACAAAACTGTAAGACTTAATAGAATTTTTCAAAATTATGAGGAGATTCAATAGGGTGAACAAGGAGAAACTATTTCCACTGGTGGGTGGGTCGATAACACGAGGGCACCGTTTTAAAATAGTTGTTAAAAGAAAGAGGGGGGGTGAGGATAAATGTTTTCACACAGCGAGTTGTTCGGATCTGGAATGTATTGCCTGAAAGGATGGTGGAAGCCGATTCAATAACAATTTTTAAGAGAAGTAGATAATTATTTGGGGAAGACAAGCTTGTAGGGCTACGGGGAGAGAGTGGGGGAGTGGGATTGATTTGGATAGCTCTTTCAAAGAGCTGTCAAAGACACAGCGGTCTGAATGGCCTCCTTCTGTGCTGTATAATTCTAACTGCCTTTGTCCATTTTGCATATTTCCCCTCTTTCTGGATGATTCTTTATTCCAAAGTTATCGGTTTCTCCCAGTCCTCTATGTTCCTTGTTTCTCCTCTCTGATGTTACATCCTGGTTCCCTCCGCACTGCCAAATTAGTTGAAACCCCCCACACCCACTATACTTGTCAACCTCCCCGTGAGGAAATTGATCCCAGCCCTGTTCAGGTGCAGCCCATCCACCTTGTATAGGTCCCACCTGCCCCAGAACTGGTCCCAATGCCCAGGAGTTTGAAGCCCTCCCTTCTGCACTATTTCTCCAGCCACACATTAACCTGCTCTATCTTGTTGTTCCTTTTCGCACTAGAACATGGCACTGGGAGTAATCCAGAGATTTGTGGAGTCCTGTAGCTCAGTGGTTAGAGCACTCGCTTTGCAAGCGAGAGACCTGAGTTCAATTCCAGGCAGAGGGCGAAACCTTGGGCAAGTTTCCTTACTCCACACAGAGCCTAATAATAATAATCCCTCCAAAACAAAAAACAATAATAAATTGGTCATTTTCAATCTACGACTGTTTGTGGGACATTGCTGTGCGCAATTGGCTGCCGCGTTCGCCCACAAATATACAGTCAATTTACTTTACAGTGTGTTCTGTGAAGCGCTTTGGGACGTCCTCCCGACGTGAAAAGCGCTATATCAAATGTAAGGATTATTATTATTATTACCACCTTTGACCTGGTTGCCCCATCTGCAACCTCCCTTTCCAAGGTCCTGGAAACATCAACCATACCGAGGACCTCCTGATTGTCTCCTGTCAGCGCCTCCACACCTCCTCAGGCACTGACAACTTCACCATCCAAGGATGCACACTCCACCTTGCTAAGCCAGTCCGGAACTTTGGCATCTTGTGTGACCCTCAACTATCCTTTCTACCCCACATCTGTGTCATGCCTTCCCCCACCTCCCCAACATCGCCTGGCTCCGCCACTGTCTCACACCAGAGATTACCACCTTTGTACCCAGGTCCTCAGTGACTCGGACCTCACCATCACCAACAAAGCCATCTCGGACCATTACTTCATATTCCTTGACTCCTCAATCCCTCTCCCCACCACCACTTAACTCACCTCCATCTCCTACCGCTCCAAGGAAAAAGATCTCCCCCCACTCCCTCTCCGCTGCCTTGGAGTGATCTGAACTCCTCCCCCTCTGGGCTTCCTCCCGCAATGACCCATTCTCCTCGGTCACTCTCCTCCACAACTCCCTCTCAACCAATCTCAATGTCTTTTCCCCCCTCACTTCCTGAACCGTCTCCTATTCACAGAAGTTACCTTGGTAAACAAGCCACCTCCGCGTCCTCAACTGGCTCCATGACCCTTTCACCCCCATCCTCGTCCAACTCCACTTCCCATCATATAGAGGATACAATTCAAGATCCTGGCCCTCACTCACCAAGCACTCCATGGCCTTACTCCTCCCTACCGTTGTGACCTTCTAACCCCCTACCAACTTGCCTGCTCATATAGAGGATACAGTTCAAGATCCTGGTCCTCACTGACAAAGCACTCCATGGCCTTACTCCCCCTTACCTTTGCGAACTTCTAACCCCCTACCAACCTGCCCGCTCCCTCTGTTCAGTGGGCTCTGGAACTCCATTCCACAGTCCCTCTGCCTCGCCCCCTCCCTTGCCTCCTTCAAGACCTGACTCAAGATCGTACTCTTCGATAGTGCCTTCGGTCACCCTCCTTCCCCCATGCCCTCCACCCTCCCTTATCCCAACTCCCAGCTCGGGTCCAAAACACTGACTGTCCAATGCCTTGGGACGTCCTCCCACTGTGACGTGGAGTTGCCTAAGATTGTGCCCTCTCCCGAGGTGACATCACCCTCACCAGTATTCAGCACAGAAAACCGGTTTGTGAGTGCCACAATCCCAGGGGATTTCTGCCATACCTGTCTCTTCTTCCTACCACTCACTCACTCTCTTCCTGAACTCTCTGTGGGCTGCAGGGTGACCACTTCCTAAAATGTTTTTAATTAATTTGATTTATTTATTTGTTTATTTATTTACCTACCTTTTATTAATTCCTATTTCTATTATTTCCTATATTTAGTGGACCCTTAGTCTACTATATAGTTGTGACCTGAATTATTGAATGATAGCTATTGAACGATAGCTATCACAGTTACTCTAAAATATATATTAAAAAATATACTTAGCCTGATTTGTTAAACTGGCGCATGGAAATGACATTACGCAGTGAGTTTTGGCTGTTGGTTCAGGTGGAAGATTTTGAAAATGGCATCTCTGCACCTAGATCAAACCGATGGGTACTAACTCCTGCACCGATTCCTGCTGACCCACCAGTAGTTGGTATTCACTGGCCACTGTTCTCGCTCCCAGAGACCTCCCACTAGTGTCTGTTGACCTCACTCCTGCGATAATGTCCTGATCTCACGTATGGGTGCCACGAGTTTACTTTATATATGTGTGTATAATAATATATAACATACGTGGCGCTTGTATTTAGAGCAGTGGGAGCTCCTGTTAACCTTACAAGCCAAAGTCCTAATGGGTGGTCCTAACTGAACAAGTAGCAGAAAAGCTTGTCTATCAAAGGCAAGCTATAATAATAATAATAATAATAATCCTTGCATTTGATATAGCGCTTTTCACGTCGGGAGGACGTCCCAAAGCGCTTCACAGAACACACTGTAAAGTGAATTGACTGTATATTTGTGGGCGAACGCGGCAGCCAATTGCGCTCAGCAATGTCCCACAAACAGTTGTAGATTGAAAATAACCAATTTATTATTGTTTTTGCTTTTGGAGGGATTATTATTAGGCTCTGTGTGGATTAAGGAAACTTGCCCAAGGTTTCGCCCTCTGCCTGGAATTGAACTCAGGTCTCTCACTTGCAAAGCGAGTGCTCTAACCACTGAGCTACAGGACTCCACTTGCAGGCTTAGCGCACATACCAGACACCAGGGGACAGAAGCCCCAGGGCTCAGACTGGGCTACAAAGTCTAAGATTGTTGATTCTATAATGGAAGCCGGCCACTTGTGTCGTTTGTTCTGCCACTCACCGTTCATTCTGCATTGCAGTTGTAAACTGTGACATGGGATTGACCGTGGGACTCACAGGCTTGTTCCTGTCCCATATGATCATGAGATCCGCCATTCTCTCCTCTGCACACTGTGCTGTCAGCCGGGCCTCGGCATCCTGGTCCCAACAGTCCTCCATTGTCTCCTTTAGTGACCGCACGGCCTGAAGAACACAAATTAATAATAATCCTTGCATTTGATATAGTGCCTTATCGTTGACATTTCAAAGCGCTTCACAGAGTATACTCTTAAGTGAACTGACAGTATATTTTGTGGGCGAAACATAGCAGCCAACTGCGCAAACCACAACAGTCATGGATTGAGTGAATTATTATTATTATTGTTTTTTAAGAGATTATTACCTCCAGAAAGCGGTCCGCCAATTGATAACAAACCTACTTACTGCCAGGTAAACAGAAGGGCGTGCCTATGATTTTGCCCTGCCGTCAATCAAACCCGGGTTTTCTCGCTTGTGAGGTGAGTGCTCGTTTATATGATTTATAAAGAGTTATGCAAGTTTTACTGTATTTGTGTCCCCTTATTACAAACTCTCCAACCAGTGGGAACAGTATCATAGATTGGTTTGATGAAGAAATGCTCTTCAGCCGACCCGATCTCATCTCTCCCGCTCACCTACTTCCTGTCACAAGCTGCTTTTTAAATAAGGTTCGCATCGTCCGGCCAATCGATATGGGGCTTTGAACCCACATTTGACTTGGGGACAAGTGCTGCGACTGAGCTGGGCTGACGCAGGATCACTAGAGAGATTTGGATGAAGAAGGCCCTTTGACCCATTTGATCTCACCCTTCCAAAAAAAAAAACTCCTGTCCTCACATCACAGCATCCGGCTGTTTGTAAACCAGTTTAGTGCTCTGGCCTCTCCATCGTACTCCAGAATAATTTTTTTGGCCTAACTATTTGCTTGTGATGAAGGTGAGATTGAGAGGTATAAAAGCATTTGATGTCTCACCAGACTGTTCTCCTTCCATGCCTCAGGGAACTTGGGTCTCTGCTTCTCTCTGGAGACCAGCCCCTGCATATCCTCGAAGCTGGGATGGTTGCCCACCTCTGCCTGGAATGCCATCTGGTAGTCAGGCACTGACTCCCCTGTCACAGGAGCAACAGACACAGGTTACAACCACAGAATACTCTGGCTGCTGGGGGTAACGCAACAATTCTTTTTTTTGGTCAGCCGGATGTCTAATACATTGCAGAAACCCATCACCATGCTTAACAGTATTGAGGGAAGGTTACAGTTAAATGTAAACTCACAAAGCAAATAAGAAAAGTCAAGGCTGCAGAACAGAGTAGTGACTTGAGAGATGAAAAACAGAGTGTGTCAAGTAGGGACAAAGAGTTTAACAAAGAAAATAGGGCATTAATGAGTAGGCAAAATAGTAAAAAGTTAAAATTAAAGGTGCTATACCTGAATGCATGAATCATTCATAATAAGATAGATGAATTAATGGCACAAATAGAGACAAACGGGTACGATCTAGTAGCCATTACTGAGACATGGTTACAGGGAGACCAAGGTTGGGAGCTAAACATTCCAGGGTACCTGACATATAGGAAAGATAGCAATATTAAGCCCTGTTAATAAAGGATGAGATAAAAACAGTAAAGAGGAAGGATCTTAAGTCAGAAAATCAGGATGTAGAATCAATATGGGTGGAGCTAAGGAACAACAAGGGGCAGAAAACACTAGTGGGAGTAGTTTATAATCCCCGTAGATTATAAACACCTACAACCACATCTTCCTAACAGCAGTTACAGTATTGGGCAGAGTATTAATCAGGAAATTAGAGGAGCATGTAACAAGGGTAACACAATAATAGTGGGTGATTTTAATCTTCATATAGACTGGGAAAACCAAATTGGCAAAAGTAAATTAGAGGATGAGTTTATGGAATGCATTAGAGATAGTTTTCTAGAATGCTGCTTTGGTATGCCGAGGAACCAACCAGGGAACAGGCTATCCTAGATCTTGTATTGTGTAACGAAGCAGGGCTAATCAGTAATCTTGAAGTTAAGGCTCCTCTAGGGCAGAGTGACCATAACATGATGGATTTTAATATTAAGTTTGAGAATGATGTAGTTAAGTCCAAAACAAGGGTCTTAAACTTAAATAAAGCCAACTTTGCAGGTATGAGGGACGATTTGGCTAAAATAGACTGGGAAAGTAGATTAAAAGATATGACGGTAGACAACCAATGGCAAACGTTCAAAGATATATTAGATAATTCCCAGCGAGCGCATATTTCCTTGAGAAATAAAATGGTTCAACCATGGCTAAATGTTGAAGTTAAGGAAAGTATAAAATTAAAAGAATTAAATTAAAGAATTAAATTAAAATTATTGCCAAAAAGAGCTGTAAACCTGAGAATTGGGAGGGCTTCAGAGAGAACAGCAAAGGAAAACCAAGAAACTGATTAAGAGGGAGAAAATGGAATATGAGAGTAAACTAGCTAGAGATATAAAGACAGATTGTAAGAGCTTTTACAAGTATATAATGAGGAAGAGATTAACAAAACTAAATGTGGGTCCCTTACAGGCAGAGACAGGAGAAATTATATTGGAGTATAAAGAAATGGCAGAGTCACTAAACAAATACTTTGCTTCTGTCTTCATGTTGCTGAAGATACTAAAAACTTACCAAACATAGTGGGCAATCAATAGACTATGTTAGTGAGGAACTTAAATAAATTAATATCAGTAAAGTAATAGTACTAGAGAAATTGATGGGACTAAAAACTGATAAATCCCCTGGACCGGATGGCCTGCATCCTGGGGTTTGAAAAGAGGTGGCTGCAGAGATAGTGGATGCATTGTTTCTGATCTTCCAAAATTCCCTGGATTCTGGAACAGTTCCCGTTGATTGGAAGGTCGCAAACGTAACGCTGCTATTTAGGAAGGGTGGGAGAGAAAAAATGGGGAACTATAGACCAATTAGCCTGACATCGGTGGTAGGGAAAATTCTAGAGTCTATAATTAGGGATGTCATCGTGGGGCACTTAGAAAGTCATAATATGATTAGGCAGAGTCAACACGGGTTTATGAAAGGGAAATCGTGTTTAACAAATCTTTTAGCGTTTTAGATGTAACTAGCAGGTTAGATTGAGGGGAACGAGTGGATATAGTGTACTTGGATTTTCAGAAGGTATTCTACAAGGTGCCACATAAAAGGTTGTTACATAAGATTAGGGCTCATGGAATTAAGGGTAATATATTAGCATGGATCGAAGAGTGGTTAACAAGCAGAAAACAGAGAGTAGGGATAAACAGGTCCTTCTCAGATTTGCAGGTTGTGTTTAGTGGAGTGCTGCAAGAATCAGTGCTTGGGCCTCAACTGTTTAACAGTCTACACCAATGACTTAGATGAGGAAATAGAGCTTAATGTATCTAAATTCACAGAGAATACAAAGCTAAGTGGGAAAGTGAGCTGTAAGGAGGACACAAGGAGGATGCAAAGGGATATAGACCAGTTAAGTGAGTGGGCAAGAAGGGGGCAGATGGAGTATAATGTGGGGAAGTGTGAAGTTATCTAGGTAGAAAAAAATAGAAAAGCAGATTATTTTCTAGAGGGAGAGAGTGTTAGTATTCAGAGGGATTTAGGTGTCATTGTACACCAATCACAGAAAATTAATATGAAGGTACAGCAAGTAATCAGGAAGGCTAAAAGTATGTTGGCGTTTATTGCAAAGAGGTTAGAGTACAAGAGTAGAGAAGTCTTGCTGCAATTATATAGGCCTTGGTGAGACCGCACCTGGAATATTGTGTGCAGTTTTGGCCTCCTTATCTAAAAAAGGATATAATCGCCTTAGAGGGGGTGCAACATAGGTTGGTTCCTGGGATGAGGGGATTGACCTACGAGGAGAGGTTGAGTAGACTAGGCCTACATTCTCCAGAATATAGAATAATTAGAGGTGATCTTATAGAAACCTATAAGATTCTTAAGGGTCTTGATATGGTAGATATTTTGAGACTGTTTCCCCTGGTTGGAGAATCTAAAACTTGAGGTTTTAGAACTGAGTTGAGAAAACATTTCTTCACTCAGAGGGTAGTGAATTTATGGAACTCTCTACCCCAGAAGCCTGTGGATGCTCAGTCATTGAACATATTCAAGACTGAGATCGATAGGTTTTTAAAAACTAGAGGGATTAGGGGAAATGGGGATAGGGCGGGTAAATGGAATTAGGTTAGAAGATTAGCCATGATCTTATTAAATAAATGGTGGGGCAGGCTTGAGGGGTCAAATAGTCTACTCCTGCTCCTATTTCTTATGTTCTTATATTCTTATGAAATCAAACTGAGAATTCAATGCATGCCAACAACACATGGAAATTCCAGAGATAGATTGTTTGAATGGAATGTGCACTCTCTTCCTGGAGGGACGCATCTTGCTTACCTTGGGCAAGTTTCCTTACTCCACACAGAGCCTAATAATAATCCCTCCAAAACAAAACAATAATAAATTGGCCATTTTCAATCTACGACTGTCTGTGGGACATTGCTGTGCGCAATTGGCTGCCGCGTTCGCCCACAAATATACAGTCAATTCACTTTACAGTGTGTTCTGTGAAGCGCTTTGGGACGTCCTCCCGACGTGAAAAGCGCTATATCAAATGCAAGGATTATTATTATTATTACCTAATTCCACAGAGTATTTGGAGCAAGTTTGCAAGAGCCAAGGCTTGGGGACCTCAGAGTGTTCGTTGGGGTAATTGCTGGAGTTCAACCAGCTAAAACCATATAGTTTGCCATCGAGAGCACTGTCTGGCAAGCTTTCCCCCTGCTTGTCCAATGAAAAACTCCACAATGCATTCCGTCCCAAATTCAATTGGCTTCCGCATATATGAGGCTGTGTTTGAATTTGGGAGATAGACAGATTGTTAGAGATCCCTGGAGAGAGTGCACATTCCATTCCAACAATCTATGTCTGGAATTTCCATGTGTAGGTGGGATGCATAGAATTCTCAGTTTGGTTTTGGTCACCCAGCTGAAAAAATCCCCTCTCTAAACACTTCTGCAGGTCTGGCCAGGCTTTCCGAAGCAACAAAACAAATCCTTACAACTGTTATGGTATTTCTATCTCGAGAACATCTCAAAGCGTTTCACTGGGAATGCTGTCAAGTGTATTGACTGCTCATTTGCACACAAACACGCAGCAAGGGTCCCGCAGATAGGCATAGAGTGAATGATCAATTGATCAGGATACAGTCTACAAACGTTCCAACAGTTTTTCCCATATTGGTTCTCATCATCCAGGTGCTACCCGTATCCTCACCCGCACAAAACTCCCCATGTCAATCCTCGTCAGACTCCACCGGTACTGTCTCTGAATGGATCGACTTCAAGCTCCTCACTCTCAAACACAAATTCCTTCCTGCCCCAGCACCTCTCTGACCCACTCTCATCCCACTTCTCTGCCCATCGCCTTTGTTCGGCTAACATGAGCCTGCTGTGTTCCCCATACTTTCAGCCTCAATCCCTCCACTTCGCCCCCTCTTTATCCATCTTTAATTTCCACTTGAAAAACCACCTTTTTGACAGTACCTATGGCTACCTCCTCCTTCTACCTAGATCGACCTCAATCCTGCCACCGTGCAGTTCTCCGAGACAATGTCCTGCAAGAAGGAGTCTGTGTAAATATATGAGTTGTTGTTACTGTTTAATGTCTTACCCGGGAAGAGATCGGTGCATCTCATGAAGGTTTCCCAGTAGATGAGGCCCAGTGAGTACATGTCCACCTGCTTCAGTGCAGACTCACAATCCCTCAGGTTCACCGCTCCCTCCAGCACCTCTGGTGCCATGTAACGGATTGTGCCGACCTGCACAAGGGAGGAGACACGTCACAATACCCGCTAAGCACTAGCACTTTGAAATGTCTCAACGTGATAAGACTATATGAAATGTAAGGATTATTATTATAACTGGACATATATGCAGCGGAAGGGGATTAGAGGGACACAGAAAGGGCAGGGAATTGCCATTAAGACGGACGGCTTCTTGGAAGAGCAAATGCCGAGGAAACGAAGTGAGCCGAACGGCTTCAGGCTCAGGCTCTCACCGGCTCTGCTCACCTCACTGATGGCTGCGGTGTCCTCCTCTCCAGGACGGACCAGTCTGTTCCCCGTTAGCTTCATGGACAAACCAAAGTCGCTGATGGCACATGTCCCGTCGTTCTTCACAAGCACATTCCTGCTGTTCAGGTCCCGGTGTGTGATGGCAGGCTTGTACTGATCTGAGGGCAGTTTAAGGTGGGGCTCAGTGCAAAATAATAATAATCCTTCATTTCATATAGCACCTGATCACATTGTAGAGAAGTTTCAAAGCACTTCACAGAGTACATTGTAAAATGTATATTTTCTGGGTGAAACGCAGCAACCAATTGCACACAGCAGTGTCCCACAAACAGTAATGGATTGTGCGACCAATTTTTTTTGAGAAATTATTACCCTTGAAAAGCAATTCTCCAATCAACTAACAATCAGGTCCCTATTTACTGCTAGTTAAACAGACGTGTGGAGTAAGGAAACTTGACTACAGTTTCACCTTTCACCCCATCTGAAAATGGGGAAGGAGAGGGCAAGGCAGAGGGATTGAACGAGTGAGTTCCAACTTTTCGGGGCGTAGTGGCTGAAGATACGGCTGCAAATGTGGAGCGGAGAGGACGAAGGGCAAGCAGGAGGCCGGAGCCAACTGAACGGAGGCGGTGGGGAGGGTGGTGAAGTGGGGAGTAAGCAGGTCGGAGAGGTAGGGAGGTGCCAGGGCGAGAAGGGTTTATTTGAAGTTGACAAGTGTGTGTGCACTTTCAGTCGAACCGTGATAGGGAGTCAGTGGAGCCTGGCAAGGCCTGGTGTTACGGCGGTGTGGAGTTTAATGTGGGTAAGAACATGGGAGGCAGAGTTTTGAAGCAGTTGGATTTTGTGGGCTAAGACTCAAGGATTTAGCCCAGAGGCTCCAGCAGCAGCAGCAGGTTCCAGAGGATCAATCGGCTGCAAGATTATAACATCCTTGCATCGGAAGGACCTCTCAAAGCACTTCATAGAATTTACTTGAAAATGGAATGACTGTGTAGTTAAAGGCAAATGGGGCAGCACAATTGAGCACAGCAATGTCCCACAAACAATCATGGGGTGAGTGACCAATTTTATTTGGGGGATTGTTGGCCAGGACATCAGGAGAGAGAAACTCCCTTCTCTTTTCCAACAGCGCCATGGGATCTTTAACGTTCAACTGAATAGGCAGATGGGGCCTCGGCTTAATGTCTCATTCGAAGGACGACACCTCTGACAATGCAACACACCCCCAGCACTGCACTGGCATGTCAGTTTAGACTATCTGATTCCAAGATACCAGTGAAATGGTATAACTTTAAAAGGGATGCAGGGACAGAGAGACTTGGGGGTTCACATAAACAAATCTTTGAAGGTGGCAGGACAAGTTGATAAAGCTGTTAAAAAGCATAAGGGATCTTTGGCTTTATAAACAGAGGCATAGAGTATAAGAGCAAGGAAGTTATGTTGCCCCTTTACAAATTGCTGGTTCGGCCTCAGCTGGAGTATTGTGTCCAATTCTGGGCACCAAAGTTTAGGAAGGAAGTCAGGGCCTTGCAGAAAGTGCAAAAGAGATTTACAAGAATGATACCAGGGATGAGAGGTTGGGATTATTCTCCTTAGAGCAGAGAAGGTTGAGGGGAGATTTAATAGAGGTGTTCAAAATTATGAGGGGTATTGATAAGAGTAGATAGGGAGAAACTGTTTCCTTTGGGGGGTGGGTTGGTAATCAGAGGACACAGATTTAAGATAATTGGCAAAAGAACCAGAGGGGAGAGGAGAATTTTTTTTTACACAGAGAGTTGTTACTGTCTGAAATGTACTGACTGAAATGGTGGTGGAAACAGATTCAATAATAGCTTTCAAAAGGGAATTGGATAGGTACTTATAATGGAAACCATAACATTCTGACTCAGAGGAGAGAGTGCTACCATTGAGCTATACAAGTTGTTGTTGTTGTTTTAAACAGCAGGGCTCTAGATAGTGACCACAGTGAAGAGCTTACAATGAAATATTGGCGGGAGACAGTCGATAGAATTGTGATCAGATTCATTGATGTGTTGTTCCCCATGTGAGCTGGCTGGGTGTGGAATACAAGACGCAATGAAGTCGATCCTCGCATTGTACAATTAACACAGGCTTGGATTCAGAGCCCAGCTTTTAAACTCTGTGAGTGCAAGATATTTGCTTAAAACAACAACAACACTTTGCATTTATATAGCGCCATTCACACAGGGCAGCATCTTGGAGTGGTGGAGCCTGAAGCTGAGCTGGAGGAGGGGGAAAGGGGACCTGAATCAGAGGTCACAGTTACACAGCAACATTTCCTCAACTGAGCTTAGGAATAAAAGGCAGTCGAAAAGGCAGTGCATTGTGAGTCAGACCACACTATGATGCTCACCATTTCGGAGTAATTCTGTGTGCAGGTGGGCAAGGCCTTTGGTGACAGCATGTGCCAGTCTACAGGAGCTCACCCAGTCATTGGTGTGTAGGCTCAGGTACTTGCACAGGGAACCCTGCGTAGAGGGAAAGAACACAAACACCTGCACGTCAACACCAATAACCCCAATGCGTTTCAGTTACAGAACAACAAATTGCATTTACATGGCGTCTTTCACTTCAAGAGAACATTAAGGGATTTGCACCTGAGCTGCGGGTTGGCATCAGAGAGGAATGGAAGGTAAAGGGGGTGGAGGAGGGAAGATACCTGAAGGCACGGTCAAAAAGAACCCTACGAACCACAAAATATTGGTGGCCCAGGCAGCCACAGCACTGAAATCTCACTCTCAAACAGCATCAAAGACGACCCAGCATTGCCAGGAGACGAGCTGTGCTATTACTTTATCCTAATGCTTTGCGCCATCTACACCCTTTGTTATAATAATAATTCTTACATTTGATACAACGGCTTATCATGTCAGCATGACTCTCAAAGCACATCACAGGATATACTGTAAAGTTAAGTGATATATGAATTCAAGTTGCGGTTGTTAGTTGTCAATGTGCGTCACTTTTTCTGCGTACGTTCGTCTCTTCAATATTCTCTCCTCTCTGAGACCAACCTGACTGACTTATCCAACACTCACAGATGCACAGGGGGAAACAACAACAATAAAATGGGCTGCAGAGTTCTGGATGATACCTTACAACAACAACAACAAGATTCCACTGACAAAGCGCCTTTCACGTCGGGAGGACGTCCCAAGGCGCTGGACAATTGGGTCAGAACCCAAGCAGGGGGGAAATGGTCAGGGTGAGGGGAGGGAAGGGAGGGAGCGAGGAGGGGGTAGAGAGTCGAGAGGAGAGCTGAAGGCTCGGTCAAAGAGAACGGTCTTGAGACCGGCCTTGAAGGAGGAAAGGGAGGAGGCGGCGAAGGCACTGGGGGATAGAGTTCCAGAGCCTCGGGGCTGAGAGACTGAAGGCCCGGCCACCGATGGTAGGGCGGTTGGGGCGGGGGATGCGGAGCAGACCAGAGCCAGAGGAACGGAGGGTACGGGCAGGTAGCTATGGGGATAGCAGGTCAAAGAGGTAGGAGGGAGTAAGGCCGTGAATGGCCTTGTAGGTGAGGATGAGGATCTTGAATTCGATCCTCTGGGAGGACGTACCAATGTACTGGACAAGCAGTGTTTCGGACCCAAGCTGGGGGTCGGGATTGGGGAGGATGAGGGGCACGGAGGATGACCGAAGGCACAGTCGGTGAGTAGGGTCTTGAGACGGGTCTTGAAGGAGGCAAGGGAGGGGCGAAGTGGAGGGACTGCGGAATGGAGTTCCAGAGAGTAGGGGTAAAGTGAGAAAAGACACACCCGCCAATGGTGGGGCAGGCGAAGCGGGGGACGTGAAGCAGGCCGGAGCACTCTGAGCTGAATGAGCGAGCAGTTTGGTAGGGGGTTAGATGGTCGCAGAGATAGGGGGGAGCAAGGCCATGAAGGGATTTGAAGGTGAGCACCAGGATCTTGAACTGTATCCTCTGTAATGAGAAGCCAGTGGAGTCGGGTGAGGATGGGGGTGATAGGGTAGCGGAGCCTGGTGCGGGAGAGGACGCGGGCTGCACAGTTCTGGATGATCTGCAGCCTATGGAAGGAGGAGTTGGGGAAGCTGACAAGCAGGGAGTTTGCGTAGTTGAGCCTGGATATTATGAAGGGTCTCGGCGGCCTGTGGTGTGAGACAGTTTATGGAGATGAAGTGGAGACGGTGTAAGAGATAGGAACCCGAACCATCGATGGACAGAACCATGAAGGTTGAGGTGAGAGGAGAGGCGGTGAAGAAAGCTAGAGTGATCAAAGATATCAAAGACAGCAGAGAGGTCAGCGAGGACGTGGAGACAGAGAGAGCCCTGGTTGTAGATGGACAAGATGTCATTTGTCACTTTGACCAAAGCTGTTTCTGTGCTGTGGGCGACACGGAAATCTGATTGGAGAGGTTCGTAAAGGGAGTGAGTGGCGGGAGCGGAAGGAACGAAGCTGGGAAGCAACGGCTCGTTCCAGGACCTTGGAAAGGAAAGGGAGGTTGGAGATGGGTCAGTAGTTTGAGAGCAGAGATGGGCACAGGGAGGGCATTTTGAGGATAGGAGTGATGATGGCCGTTTTTGGTGGGGTGGGAATGGTGCCAGTGGACAGGGAAAGGTTTATGATGTCTGTGAGGGGGGGGGGGGGGGCGGGGGGCAAGGAGGTGGAGCTGGGAAGTAAGGAGAGGTAGGGATGGGGTCAACGAAGCAGGTGATCGGTTTCATGTGGGATATGGTGGAGGAAAAGCTTGGCTATAAAACCAATCTGGTGAATAAAGAATCTTATTCAACAGGACATTAATAATAATAATAAATAATCCTTACATCTGATATACCACCTTATGTAGAAATGTCTCAAAGGGTTTCACATTGTTTTTCTGCAAATTGTAGTATTTGTAGACAAATGCAGCAGCCAATTTGCACACAGCAATGAAGTGAATGAGTGATTTTATCTGGAGAGTTGTTGGCCAGGACAACAGAAGAAACTCCCTTCTCCTTTTGAATGGTACCATATTGTGTAACCTTGGTATAATGTCTCACATGAAAGACAGCACCTTTGTCAATGCAGCACACCCTCAGCACTGCAGTGTCGGTCTAGTCTGTGAGCTCAAAGTCCTAATTTAAAATTGAAATATTGTCACCGTCCAGCTTGGCTGAATAAAATCTAAACTCACAAATCCAACCTGCTGTCCTGTTTTTTTTTCTCCATATATTTTTGTCACAACACAATTCTATTCCATCTTTTAAATAAAATAAAAAATAAATGGATACTCTTAAATTCCAAATCTTGGAAACTGTATAATCACTATGCAGTGCTGACACGGGCCCTGCAGGAGGCGCTGCTACACAGAAATTCCCCGCAAACGTCTCAGCTGCTCCACCAACAGGCACAGAGCGGTACTGCAGCCGACTTTCCGTGAGTTAACAAATTCACTCCAGATTTCAATCCACCCCTCCCCTCAGCCCTCCAACCCCTCCCCTCAGCCCTCCAACCCCTCCCCTCAGCCCTCCAACCCTCCCTCCTCCCCCTCCCTCAGCCCTCCAACCCCTCCCCTCAGCCCTCCAACCCCCTCCCCTCAGCCCTCCAACCCCCTCCCCTCAGCCCTCCAACCCCCTCCCCTCAGCCCTCCAACCCCTCCCCTCAGCCCTCCAACCCTCCCCTCAGCCCTCCAACCCTCCCTCAGCCCTCCAACCCCTCCCCTCAGCCCTCCAACCCCTCCCCCGCCTCCACCCCTCCCCTCAGCCCTCCAACCCTCCCCTCAGCCCTCCAACCCCCTCCCCCTCAGCCCTCCAACCCCTCCCCTCAGCCCTCCAACCCCTCCCCTCAGCCCTCCAACCCCTCCCCTCAGCCCTCCAACCCCTCCCCTCAGCCCTCCAACCCCTCCCCCTCAGCCCTCCAACCCCTCCCCTCAGCCCTCCAACCCCTCCCCTCAGCCCTCCAACCCCTCCCCTCAGCCCTCCAACCCCTCCCCTCAGCCCTCCAACCCCTCCCCTCAGCCCTCCAACCCCTCCCCTCAGCCCTCCAACCCCCCCCTCCAGCCCTCCCCCTCACCCTCCACCCCCTCAGCCCTCCAACCCCCCCCTCAGCCCTCCAACCCCCCCCCTCAGCCCTCCAACCCCCCCCTCAGCCCCTCCCAACCCCTCCCCTCAGCCCTCCAACCCCCCCTCAGCCCTCCCCTCCCCTCAGCCCTCCAACCCCTCCCCTCAGCCCTCCAACCCCTCCCCCTCAGCCCTCCAACCCCTCCCCTCAGCCCTCCAACCCCTCCCCTCAGCCCCCAACCCCTCACCCTCAGCCCCCAACCCCTCAGCCCCCCAACCCCCCCACCCCTCAGCCCCCCAACCCCCCCAACCCTCAGCCCCCCAACCCCCCCCCAACCCCTCAGCCCCCAACCCCCGACCCCCTCAGCCCCCAACCCCTCATTCCTCCAACCCCTCAGCCCCCCCAACCCCACCCCCCTCAGCCCCCGACCCCCCCTCAGCCCCCCAACCCCTCATTCCTCCAACCCCTCAGCCCTCACCCCACTCCTCAGCCCTCAGCCCCCAACCCCTCACCCCACCCTCACCCTCCAACCCCTCAGCCTCACCCCACCCCTCCAACCCCACCCTCAGCCCCCCAACCCTCCAACCCCTCAGCCCCCCAACCCACCCTCAGCCCCCCAACCCCCCAACCCCTCACCACACCCTCAGCCCCCCAACCCCCACCCCACCCCTCAGCCCCCCAACCCCTCCAACCCCTCACCCCACCCTCAGCCCCCCAACCCACCCCTCAGCCCCCCAACCCCTCACCACACCCCTCAGCCCCCAACCCCTCACCCCACCCTCAGCCCCCCAACCCCTCATTCCTCCAATCCCTCAGCCCTCACCCCACCCCTCAGCCCTCAGCCCCCCAACCCCTCGCCCCACCCTCACCCCTCCAACCCCTCAGCCCTCACCCCACCCCTCCAACCCCACCCCACAGCCCCCCAACCCCTCACCCCACCCCTCAGCCCCCAACCCTCACGCCACCCTCAGCCCTCACCCCACCCCTCAGTCCCCCAAACCCCACCCCACCCCCCAACCCTCACCCCCAACCCCTCACCCCTCCAACCCCTCACCCTTCAGCCCTCAGCCCTCCAAACCCTCAGCCCCCCAACCCCTCAGCCCCCCAACCCTCCTCAGCCCCCCAACCTGCACCCCACCCTTCAGCCCCCAATTCCCACCCCTCAGCCCCACCCCACCCCTCAACCCCCCAACCCCTCACCGCAGCCCTCCAACCCCTCAGACGCCCAACCCCTCAGCCCCCCAACCCCTCAGCCCCCAACCCCTCAGCCCCCAACCCTCAGCCCCCCAACCCCTCAGCCCCCCAACCCCTCAGCCCCCCAACCCCTCAGCCCAGCCCCCAACTTAGCCACCCAACCCCTCACCCCTCCAACCCCTCACCCCTCAGCCCTCCAACCCCTCATCCCTCAGCCCCCCCAACCCCTCACCCGTCAGCCCATCAACCCCCACCCCTCAGCCCCCCAACCCCTCACC